TTGGATTATACTATCATGTCTATTTATACCATGGTGTTAAAGCTTACGTTGTATCGACAAATCATTTATCTCTTCATCAAATGGTCTTACCATGCAGGAAATGAATATTCCTTGTTAAACCTGTTCTATACGGATCAGAGTCTACATGTGTGATTTTATTTTCAATTCGTTCTTCGTAACCACCTCCGTGACTGATGTTGTCTTCCCTTTTGTTTTGATATCATCCCATTTCCTGATGTTGTCTTACATTTGTCTTGATATCATCCCATTTCCTGATGTTGTCTTCCCTTTTGTTTTGATATCAACCCATTTCCTGATGTTGTCTTCCTTTTTATTTTGATATCATTCCATTTCCCGATGTTGTCTTCTCTTTTGTTTTGATATCATCCCATTTTCTGATGTTGTCTTCCCTTTTGTTTTGATATCATCCCATTTCCTGATGTTGTCTTCCCTTTTGTTTTGATATCAACCCATTTCCTGATGTTGTCTTCCCTTTTGTTTTGATATCATCCCATTTTCTGATGTTGTCTTCCCTTTTGTTTTGATATCATCCCATTTCCTGATGTTGTCTTCCCTTTTGTTTTGATATCATCCCATTTCCTGATGTTGTCTTCCCTTTTGTTTTGATATCAACCCATTTTCTGATGTTGTCTTCCTTTTTATTTTGATATCATCCTATTTCCTTGTGTTGTCTTTCCTTTTGTTTTGTGTCCTGCCAAATCACGAGTTTGTCAGTTGGTACTGAATTATTTCATTCGACCATAAACGGATTACACTACTACAAGTGTAAAGGACATCGTACACTCTCCGAACCCTTGTTTGACATTCCACACAGGAATTGATAATTTGATAAACGATATCAGATTAATGTGAAAGGGATATAGGTTCAAAATAAATAACAAAGTTAAGATTTGGGTGCTAACAGGCCTCGAACTAATTGTGTATGCTGTCTTCTAAATCGTATGATAGTAGTACATGATTAATCTCATGTTGACGAGTTTTTACATTGTTCGTTTTAATTTGAGTCTCCATTTAAATCTTTATTTTGTTTATATTTTGCCTAGTTTTATTGAATTAAGTGTTGTGTTATGATTCGATGTTCGAAGACGAGAACCAAATTTGATATGGCATTGTAATTCTGAATATGTTTTATGTTATTAATGAATTCAACTGATCTCAATTATGATGAACATAATACAGAGATATATCGACTAAACAAATTTATCAAAATACTGTCTTGAACCTGTAAATCACCTGCTTTTGAAATTTGTTCTCAGCTCACTTCAATGAAATTTTGTGGGTTGGGGAGTGAGTTGTAATTGACCAACCGTCAATGCCAAGGTTACCAGGTCAGTTGTCACGGTTCTTGGTAACTTATATGGTCGATATGCATGGTTTGGTTTTTGATTCTGAGGTTGGTTGTATTAAAAACCAACACAAATCCATTGTGTCATAGTGAGAGAATCATGAAAAGAAGGTTGTTTCGTATTTGCGGTGTCGTGTGCAACTTCATAGCTTTCTATAAGAAAATGATGTGAAGTAGTTCTGAAATGTCCAATAAAAAATGTGGAGAAAGCGGAATTAATCCCAGCTACGTTACACCTGTACACCTGTACACCTGTACACCCGAACAAATGACAGATACAGTGGTAAGCGGTATTAATCCCAGCTACGTTACACCTGTACACCCGAACAAATGACAGATACAGTGGTAAGGAGAATTAATCCCAGCTACGTTACACCTGTACACCCGAACAAATGACAGATACAGTGGTAAGGGGAATTAATCCCAGCTACGTTACACCTGTACACCCGAACAAACGACAGATACAGTGGTAAGGGGAATTAATCCCAGCTGCGTTACACCTGTACACCCGAACAAACGACAGATACAGTGGTAAGGGGAATTAATCCCAGCTGCATTACACCTGTACACCCGAACAAACGACATAATAAATGTAAAACATCACAATCACGTGATTAAAGAAATCGCCGATAATATTGACGTTAAAACAATGTTTGTAAATTACTAGGGCATCGCTGTCGGTTTAGAATGATGCTTGTGAACACAGATATTAGAACATGGATGACGTTTCTGGTGTACATTAAGTAGGTATTGGCGTAATGTTAATATTTTACACAAATATCATGCCGTTCCAGTTATATACACGCAAGACATTTGATATGATTTTACAATATACTCCGTATCAGCTAAACTAGACAGGTCATCTTACATCATAATTAAATATTCGAGGTATGATAATTGTGTGTCGAGGAGACATGTTGGCTTGTTAGTATTACATTCAAGCTTTCTCCTTTCCTGTTTTTGGTTCTAATAAGTTGTTGTATAGATTAATAATAATTTCGGGGATTTTGATTGGAAGATGAACCGTCTGTACGTATTTATTGATTCCTGTATCTCTTTTTTCTAAATCGCTTACAAAATAACTGGGAGGGTTTGAGTTAACAAAGCTTTAGGATGTATTCTGAATTCTGAATTAAAGTGAGGTAGAAACCCGAATATTGCCCTGACGTTTATCGATTGGCCACTGTCAATATTGGTACTAGTTAATTCTTGATTGATCTCACCAAACATCATGTTGTGTTTGATGTTTGAATTCATAAGAAGTCAGTGCTACCAGTGGCTTTGTTGACTATGTTTAAGTTCATTAATTACCGATGGAGACTTTCTTGCCCAATATGAGTGGTGCCTTGTGGCCATTAAAGACGTGTTCGTAATGTTTGTTGATAAATGAGGGCCAACGTAACTTTAGGTGAAGAAAAGGAGTGCGTGGTTCGATTCCCTCTGGTAGCGGTTTGCTCTGAATGGCATGTGACGAACCTTCCGTATGCTGTTCAGTGAGGTACCCACCAGCTACTACAAGGTGACGCTATCTAAAAATGACCCCGGCTGTTCACATGGTAATAATCCCGATAAACAGAATTGTTAAAATAGCATGCTTGAGCAAATCGAACTAAATATTACATATTTTAACTGTTAGAGACACGATTAACAATACGATCTATAGATGACATGATTTGACAGTGGGCAGATATTGACTTTCTCTGTTATATAAACAGTGAACGATTCTTTTCCTCTACTCTCTACAAATGAGAACGATTGATTTCCTCTGTCAATTTGATTCCTTTATGTTGATTACAGCGAGCAGTTTTGTCTTTCAGTCATCTTTGGTGGTGATACTGAACGACTTTGTCCTTCAATTCCCTTTGATGACTACAGCCATTTCATAGGTCAGAACTCTTTGATTGCGATAGTGAACGATTTTATTTTCAATCTTCTTTCAGTGCGACAGCGAGCAATTTTGTATTTCAATCTTTGAGTTCGACAGCGAGCAATTTTGTATTTCAATCTTTGAGTTCGACAGCGAGCGATTTTGTCAGACTCCTGGTTTCATTGTAACAGGTGTTGTTTCATATTACTTATTAATGCAATTAGAGGTATAATGATTTCCTCAGCTGATCAATTTCAATAAATAATGAATCAAGTCTCTATGATGTCTGAAAGTGTAACAGCTCATCGTTCCCGTGTAAGTTGTGGTACCATTGGACAGCATTAGGTTTTCAGCGAATGTCAACAAGGCAATAAAACATTTCTCTGTGTTGTATCCACGTGTTCGTGTAACATTTCTCTGTGTTGTACTTCTGTTCCGGTAACACACTGTGTGTTGTAAACGTGTAACATTTCTCTGTGTTGTACTTCTGTTCCGGTAACACACTGTGTGTTGTAAACGTGTAACATTTCTCTGTGTTGTACTTCTGTTCCGGTAACACACTGTGTGTTGTAAACGTGTAACATTTCTCTGGGTTGTATCCACGTGTTCGTGTAACATTTCTCTGGGTTGTACTTCTGTTCCGGTAACACACTGTGTGTTGTAAACGTGTAACATTTCTCTGGGTTGTACTTCTGTTCCGGTAACACACTGTGTGTTGTAAACGTGTAACATTTCTCTGTGTTGTACTTCTGTTCCGGTAACACACTGTGTGTTGTAAACGTGTAACATTTCTCTGGGTTGTATCCACGTGTTCGTGTAACATTTCTCTGGGTTGTACTTCTGTTCCGGTAACACACTGTGTGTTGTAAACGTGTAACATTTCTCTGGGTTGTACTTCTGTTCCGGTAACACACTGTGTGTTGTAAACGTGTAACATTTCTCTGTGTTGTACTTCTGTTCCGGTAACACACTGTGTGTTGTAAACGTGTAACATTTCTCTGGGTTGTATCCACGTGTTCGTGTAACATTTCTCTGGGTTGTACTTCTGTTCCGGTAACACACTGTGTGTTGTAAACGTGTAACATTTCTCTGGGTTGTACTTCTGTTCCGGTAACACACTGTGTGTTGTAAACGTGTAACATTTCTCTGTGTTGTATTTCTGTTCCGGTAACCGCCCCTTCACTCACTTTCTCACTCCACATGTACATCAACACTTAAGATATGTAACATTCATACACACGACCAATTTGTATACAACACTGTGATTGTTCCAACAACGTGTATGACAAACATACGTCTGTATAACTTCTCTGTCAATCTCTGTTAACACCGGCTCATTAGATAATTGTGTTGTCGAGTGGCGCAGTGGTAACGTATTTGTCTTTCACCTTGACATCCGGGGTTCGATTCCCGGACGAATATGAATAGGTATAGGGTCATCTGCGAGACCATGTAGATTGTCCCGGGTAATTAAGTTTTCTTCCACAGTAAGACCTATCGCGCGCTCTCATTCGGGCCAACGGGTGTCATTCATATTAAAGCACACATGGGGTGTTCGACGTCCCATACATGGTGTGGATTCAAATTTTGTCAGCTCATTTGAAGCCCGAAGCGGCGCAATAAAGTAACCAAATTAACTATTCATTTCATTTATTTATTATATCGAAATATGGAGTTATTTGAAAATAGCGACACGTACAGCATGCATAGAAGTTTTAATAATTTTATGAAACATGATAAGTGATCATCATTCTTTTGTCTTTGTAGTTATGGTGATATGGTGCCGAAAACCATACCTGGTAAAGTGGTAGGTGGCGTGTGCTCACTAAGTGGAGTCCTTGTCATTGCCTTGCCTGTACCAGTCATCGTGTCAAACTTTAGCAGAATCTACCATCAAAACCAGAGAGCCGACAAACGCAAAGCACAAAAGGTATGTAAACATCATATATGCCCTGATAAATGTCATGTTTGATTTAACATCAATATATACTCACTGCGGTTCCGGACGTGTCTTTGTTTTGGCACTGAAGTATTGACTTTTCAGTGTACCCTGGCTTCAATATCTTATGTCATTACCTGTTGTTGTCAGTCTACAAGACCTTTGACAATTTCTTCTCTATAGAATACTGCAAAGCTAGTTGAATTAAAATGATTTTACGTAATCTGGTGCGGAGTGTTCGAGGAATCTCGTTATCCTAAACAAAAAACTGTTTATCTCTAGTATGGAATAGAAAAAAATGAAAATGTATCCATCTGAGTTGGCAAAATATTCTAATCGATTTCATTCCTGAATGGCCTCCGTGTAAATTGGTTGTCCTGCTTATCTCTGTACCATTTTCTTATTTAAAAATCACTATTATAGAGTTTTATGTCTGAATATAATGCAGGTTACCTAAGATATCCAATTGTTTGACATCAATGCAACAACATTATCAGATGGAAATGATAGTTTACCAGAATCAATATAATTTGCTACTGAAACGTACAACAATAACATCATATAAAATAACAGTTTATGCTATGATATATGTATAACTATTGTATTGGTAATTTTTCTAATTAAAGGATAGATGAATTCTCACTTCTTCTCACTAAGGAAACATGACTTCAGTCCTCTAATTGATGAGGGTACATGACCTCTCTCCTCTAATTGATGAGGGTACATGACTTCAGTCCTCTAATTGATGAGGGTACATGACCTCTCTCCTCTAATTGATGAGGGTACATGACCTCTCTCCTCTAATTGATGAGGGTACATGACCTCTCTCCTCTGATTGATGAGGGAACAGTACTTCTCTCCTCTAATTGATGAGGGTACATGACCTCTCTCCTCTAATTGATGAGGGTACATGACCTCTCTCCTCTAATTGATGAGGGTACATGACCTCTCTCCTCTGATTGATGAGGGTACATGACTTCTCTCCTCTAATTGATGAGGGTACATGACCTCTTTCCTCTAATTGATGAGGGTACATGACCTCTCTCCTCTGATTGATGAGGGTACATGACCTCTCTCCTCTGATTGATGAGGGAACATGACTTCTCTCCTCTGATTGATGAGGGAACATGACTTCTCTCCTCTGATTGATGAGGGTACATGACTTCTGTCCTCTGACTGATGAGATTACATGCCTTCTGTCCTCTGACTGATGAGGGTACATGACTTCTCTCCCCTGATTGATGAGGGTACATGACTTCTGTCCTCTGACTGATGAGGGTACATGACTTCTGTCCTCTGACTGATGAGGTTACATGCCTTCTGTCCTCTGATTGATGAGGGTACATGACTTCTCTCCCCTGATTGATGAGGGTACATGACTTCTCTCCCCTGACTGATGAGGTTACATGCCTTCTGTCCTCTGATTGATGAGGGTACATGACTTCTCTCCTCTGATTGATGATGGTACATGACTTCTGTCCTCTGACTGATGAGATTACATGCCTTCTCTCCCCTGATTGATGAGGGTACATGACTTCTGTCCTCTGACTGATGAGGTTACATGCCTTCTGTCTTCTGACTGATGAGGTTACATGCCTTCTGTCCTCTGATTGATGAGGGTACATGACTTCTCTCCTCTGATTGATGATGGTACATGACTTCTGTCCTCTGACTGATGAGGGTACATGACTTCTCTCCCCTGATTGATGAGGGTACATGACTTCTGTCCTCTGACTGATGAGGTTACATGCCTTCTGTCTTCTGACTGATGAGGGTACATGACTTCTGTACTCTGACTGATGAGGGTACATGACTTCTGTACTCTGACTGATGAGGGTACATGACTTCTCTGATTAATGAGAGAACATGACTTCTGTCCTCAGACTGATGAGGGTACATAACTTCTGTCCTCTGATTGATAAGGGAACATGACTTCTCTCCCCTGATTGATGAGGGTACATGACTTCTGTCCTCTGACTGATGAGGTTACATGCCTTCTGTCTTCTGACTGATGAGGGTACATGACTTCTGTACTCTGACTGATGAAGGAACATGACTTCTGTCCTCTGATTGATGAGGGAACATGACTTCTCCTCTCACTGATGAGGGTACATGACCTCTCTCCTCTGATTGATGAGGGTACATGACTTCTCTCCTCTGATTGATGAGGGTACATGATTTCTCTCCTCTGATTGATGAGGGTACATGATTTCTCTCCTCTGATTGATGAGGGTACATGATTTCTCTCCTCTGATTGATGAGGGTACATGATTTCTCTCCTCTGATTGATGAGGGCACATGACTTCTCTCCCCTGACTGATGAGGTTACATGCCTTCTGTCCTCTGATTGATGAGGGTACATGACTTCTGTCCTCTGACTGATGAGATTACATGCCTTCTGTCCTCTGACTGATGAGGGTACATGACTTCTCTCCCCTGATTGATGAGGGTACATGACTTCTGTCCTCTGACTGATGAGGTTACATGCCTTCTGTCTTCTGACTGATGAGGATACATGACTTCTGTACTCTGACTGATGAGGGTACATGACTTCTCTCCCCTGATTGATGAGGGTACATGACTTCTGTCCTCTGACTGATGAGGTTACATGCCTTCTGTCTTCTGACTGATGAGGGTACATGACTTCTGTCCTCAGACTGATGAGGGTACATAACTTCTGTCCTCTGATTGATAAGGGAACATGACTTCTGTCCTCTGACTGATGAGGGTACATAACCTCTGTCCTCTGATTGATGTGGGAACATGACTTCTGTTCTCTGATTGATGAGGGAACATGACTTCTGTCCTCTGATTGATGAGGGTACATGCCTTCTGTCCTCTGATTGATGAGGGAACATGACTTCTCTCCTCTGATTGGAAGGGTACATGACTTCTGTCCTCTGATTGATGAGGGTACATGATTTCTCTCCTCTGATTGATGAGGGTACATGACTTCTGTCTTCTGATTGATGAGGGAACATAACTTCTCTCCTATGATTGATGAGGGTACATGACTTCTGTCCTCTGATTGATGAGGGAACATGACCTCTCTCCTCTGATTGGAAGGGTACATGACTTCTGTCCTCTGATTGATGAGGGAACATAACTTCTCTCCTCTGATTGATGAGGGTACATGACTTCTGTCCTCTGACTGATGAGGGTACATGACTTTTGTCCTCTGATTGGTAAGGGTAGATGACTTCTGTCCTCTGACTGATGAGGGTACATGACTTCTCTCCCCTGATTGATGAGGGTACATGACTTCTGTCCTCTGACTGATGATGATACATGACTTTTGTCCTCTGATTGGTAAGGGTAGATGACTTCTGTCCTCTGATTGATGAGGGAACATGACTTCTGTCCTCTGATTAATGAGGGTACATGACTTCTCTTATATATTGATAAGGATGCATGATTTCAATCTAAACTTGTCGTATCCCAAGGATATGACGACTAAATACATCTGACGAGACACCGGCCAGACAGCTTTATAAACTGATCTATTACACCAGTCTCTGATACGTTCGAATAGGTCAACATTTATCTGTAACCAGACTTAAACATTAATATTCATAAATTTCTCCATAATTGGCATTACTCAATGGTTTCTCTTTAACAGGAATCTGATGTACAATAGGATTTTTTTTTCATTTTTACATTTTCAGGAAAATGTTTGTCATACTTATTCTGATATTTTTACTGTCTGAAAAATTGTACCTTTTAAATGTGTTTTTGTGATGCGTATGTATATTTTGTAACGTTTACATTTTTACAGAAAGCGCGGCAGGCTCGTATCCACATGGCTAAAAAAGCCAGCGGGGCGGCATTCCTTCACAGCAAGAAAAGGGCAGAGGAAGCACGCCGAGCAAGAGAGAGCGGTGTTGAATTAGACGACAATAAACAAAACATGTTGGAGATGCAACACCACCATCTGCTTCATTGTCTAGAGAAAACCACGGTAGGTGGACAAAAACAGCGCCGTCTACATGCGGCAGACTGCAGTCTGTACCCAAATAACACCCAGTCTGCCTTGATATGTACGCCATATATATATATACCATAGTTCATGTACACGTATATTGCATGGTATTCTGCCTGCTAACCATTACTACGATATATTCAGTAGAATATCGTCTCACATGCGGATCTTACACAATAATATTGCAAAATTATTAATAAAATATCTGTTTTTGTAGTGGAGTAGAATGATCTTTCACCCTGTATTTAAACATACAGTGTACTTTTCCTAGTATAGTGTATTACTTGAAAACTGACATCTGTTATCAATCACCTCTTTTCCTTTATAGATTGTGTGTCTACTACATAAGTGCATATTTGTTGAACTATCTATTAATTATTTCTATTAATTAATTTTCCACTATAACAACATATCCCTGGACTGAAATGCATCTATTGTATTGCACTCAATTCCTACTGGCTTTTGGGCGAGCTTTTTGAGTAATGGGGGAAGGGTGTTGACAGAATCACGTTGGTGAGATGGTTACATTTAACATGATAATCAAGATACATATTTCAGCAACGTCGTTTTGATATCTTAAACCTTTTCCTTGCAAATGTGTCCTTACGGAGTGCTTGTCTTTCTTGCTTTCGTTCCTATATATATATATTACATATATACTTACACAGGCCAAGCAGCAACCGGAGAATGCATTTGATAGGAGCGTAAAAATCATTAAAAAACAGAAAGAACCAATGATGAAATGTACATTTTGTTATAATTAAGTAAAACGATAAATTTGTTTTAATTGTTTTATATACAGAATAACAAAATTTTAGAAATACAATTTTTAACTTGTTCAAATTTCAATATTTTCAAAACTTTAATCTCTGTTTCGTTGTTCTTGTTCCAAGGAAGTATGATATATGATCATCTGTACCTTGTTGTGTTCTTGATAAGAATAATTTAGAATTAACTCTGTTTTGCATGTTTATCCTTTCTGATGACTAACATACGCTGTGGACGATTCTGTCTCCGTCAGATGCACTCTCTAGGAAGTTAGTAGTTTGAGTAGTAACGGTTTGAACGCTTAGTTGTTTCCACGTCATTCCTGTAGTTTACTATATATGCTTATAACAGCTGCTTATTACCCTTGTAGAAAACAAGCGTTCAAGTGATACTGACCTATTACCCTTGTAGATAACAAGCGTTCAAGTGATACTGACTTATTGGCTAATAAAATTAAATTTTTGCAAACTAACGGAGACAGGCAGAAGATTGAAGTCTTTACATTGAATTTATATTATAAAGAAATCTTTTTTTTACTTTATATTTATCACACTTTTTTTCTTCCATAAACAAACTTTTCACATTTATCATGATGTTGAATGTGTTACGTGCGACGTGATCTGTTGCACTTGTTTTTGGTATCAAGTAGGGCCAATTGTGTCCTTCACCTGACTAAAATATAACTACCTTTAATATAATTTCACAACTTTCTCTTTATCACTTCGGAATGTGATAATAATTAACACAATACTTGTAATTTTTCTATCTTAATATAAACACAGAGGAGCCCCGTTATTCCGAACACCAGATCCGAAAATGAAGTGTTTTTATAACAAACAATATTTACCTTTCATCTTTGCAGAGTTTGCCTAGAAATTCTTTATTCTATTCATATTTTTTTCTGAATTCAAAAGCACGTAGACTAACGGGGCTCCTTTGTGCACTCAATTTGTTATAGTTTCACACCCTTCAGATTTATCAAAACACCATCCCAGATGCAGCAGTATATAAAACGTGTTGCGTTTGGGATGAATGTATTGGCCTTCCTTGAACAGTAAAAAAAATACTCGAATACGTGTTAACACACCTGGATATCAACAGAGAAAAGAATGCAGTTTTAATTTCCCATAACAAAGTGAGGGCGCTGGCAACTGTAGAACCAATGTGCCCTTTTGTAGGACCGTGAATTCGGGGATATAGAACTGACATTTAATGGAGCCCTTACAACTAAGCCTTCGGAGACTCCCCCGCCCTCCCCGGATCCTTCATTGACCTCGCTGGATCCCAAAGGGCGAAGCACTGGCTGTTGCGCTCGTAGGTTCTCATCACATCGGAGATATTTAGTAAGTAAGGTAAGGAAACATGTTGGCGACATATCGTCCTCGCTTTCTACTTATTTCCAACTGGTTTATTTCTGCGTCTGTCAGACAGGGCGGATATCCGGTGTCATTACCGTGCACGCTGTGTAGGGAGCGGTTATTATTTTTCATCCCTTAAGTTTGCCGACTTGTTTCCGTAGTTATACAACAACAAAATCTTGCTCCTAATAACAGTGGGTGGAGTCACCCCGAGGGAGTATTAATTATCTTTAGTTCTTCCCTCTAAGATTGGAAGGTGTTAAATTTATTTTTCGTCATTATTTAACTTAACAATTTAGAACGGTATACGCTTTGCATGTTTAAATCTGCATTGAGTTGACTTTGTTTTCTGTGTTACTTCTAACACAAATGCGTGCATCGTAACCGCACGACTTTCTCCTCTATCCTTACCTCTTGTCGTCGTGTCTTTTCTTCTGTACAATTCAATGCATGAGGAACTGTTGTTGTGTTCCGATCATCAATTTTACCAATTGGTCGGGTATCTCAAAAACACAGCACGTTTTTTTCTTAACCAGGAATGCAATTTTGATAGTTTTCCATTATGCATTTGATTTCACTCATTTTATATATATATATATATTTCAATGGACTTTATTTCGTGTTATTATGCTATGTTTGAAGCTTTACTTTCAAAATATTTATTTAATAACTTTTTGATTCAATTTCTATGAATTGATTTTTTTTCAATTCCTCTGACTCAACATTGATCAGATAGTATTCAAGCTATGTATAAAATACTCTGTGTTTTCAAAAAAGTTCCATTTTTATTTCAACACCCGATTTCTATATATGTAAGATAAATACGCATTTACTTATGAGTGAAATCTAATGATTCATTCAAATTTTCGTCAAAGTAATTTTTCCACTTTATATATTAGTATCATTTGCAAATGTGGGATGAAGGACACCTTCTCTTTTCGATGAAAAAATGTGGTTTGTTTAAACCTAATTATTGTCATTAATCAAACGTACAAGAGTAGTTAGCTAATACATTTCGTTACACGTTTGTACAAAAAGGTAAGATGATATTCAAAGTTGCTCACTTGAACTTGTGGGGATACAAATATGATTTCATCATGATTTTAAATGGTATTTGCAACGGAAAACACTCAGCTGTACAAATGAAGGTAAGAAATAGACTTGAGAATCAACGGGTCCAATGTTACGTTGGAAATAACGGGTAAGCCAGTAAAATATTCACGTTTATAACTGATATAAATGTAGAAACTGGTGACTGATTTCTCATCATGTCGGTGTTAGAATGTCACAAATGTACAATGATGGTGAGAATTTGGTAGTTCGGGTAAGAATTTACCAGATGCTATTCAAAATAAAGAGTGAATTCTGTAGCTGGGGAGAAAAGTTTGAAGTTCCACTATGCCAATATTAATAAATGAAAAGTTGCACGGTTTCCAAGAGGAAAAGTCAATAGTTTGAGTGAGAATGTTAATGAAAGTTAATAAGGCAATTTCGATTGTTTGGACGAGAATTTTAGTGGAGCAATAGGTTTTATGGAGTCATGTATTTTACTAGGTGAGACATTTTTCCAAAAAGAGATTAAATTATGAAATTGTACAAAGTGAGATGGCATGATATTTTTCATGATATGCAGAAAGGCAAAATTTATTGAAAGGAGATAATATGATAATATAGGATTCAGAGGGTCACGTGTTTCTTTTATAGGAAAGTAGTTTTAATGTGAAATAAGTTCTACTTTTCAAAGGACAATCGAAAAGAAGGTAAGAAAAAACACTCACTTGTGCATATGGCAACAGTGAAAGATTGTAACAGATTGTAAAAACAGTAATATTTACGTGATAATCGAAGGCACGGGAAACACTGTTTTATAAATACAAACAAAAAACCAAAAACAAAACTGACATGTCAAAAGTATTTAGATCCACTCTCAAATTCGTCGAGGACGAAACATGAAAGAACGAAAGATTAACACGGAGATTCCTAAAAAGGACAAGGAGAATAAGATTAAGTGTTCTGAAAGAGTAAGCGTCTTTTGCATCTACGGCGTGTAAACCTTGGTCAATCCAAAGAAGTAAAGTTGGGTTCTCAATGGAAACAAGTAAAACAAGAACGGAACCAATTCTTTTTGGTTTTATATCGTATCCTAACGACGATCATATATTACTATGGTGATACACTACTATGGTGATACATTACTATGGTGATACACTACTATGGTGATACACTACTATGGTGATACATTACTATGGTGATACACTACTATGGTGATACATTACTATGGTGATACACTACTATGGTGATACACTACTATGGTGATACCTTACTATGGTGATACACTACTATGGTGATACATTACTATGGTGATACACTACTATGGTGATACTATGGTGATACATTACTATGGTGATACACTACTATGGTGATACACTACTATGGTGATACATTACTATGGTGATATACTACTATGGTGATACATTACTATGGTGATACACTACTATGGTGATACATTACTATGGTGATACACTACTATGGTGATACTATGGTGATACATTACTATGGTGATACACTACTATGGTGATACACTACTATGGTGATACACTCGGTCGTGTCATTTACGGTAAGAACGTTTCTTGAATATTATCATGGACGATAGGAAATACACATTCTAATGTCATTGACGAGTAGACAAGAGATTTAGGAGGTCCCAAAGTAGGCAGTGATAGAGTGAACACAGTTACTAACACGAAATGTTAGAGTACTATTGTTGAATGTGTGTTTGCCAAAGTGACTGTATTGGTACCCCTCGTGCCTAAAATATACATTCCAAGAAGTGTTGTGTACACGTGATGGTTGTTGTTGGCTGTACATGGCTTTAGCCTGATAGTAAGGACCGTCAGGAAAACACGTATAGAGAATATCATTCGTCTTTTGAATATCACAGAATATCAAGTCTATGTTAACATATAAATTACCTCACGCAAAGCAGCGGTAACCAGGTCATCGGAAGAACATGAAAATGATTAGTGAAATATAGTTAGACTTCAAATGTATGTATTATGTAGGGGTTGCTTTAATCAGGTTTCATCGTCAAATAATGTTCCTGAAGGTGTACCTGGGTCACAATGTACGCAATATTTGGTGGTGATATGAATGATGTTGAAGCTGTTTTAAAACGCTTTTCATGAGTGTTGTTATTCAGTGTAGTCTGTAAGTAATTACTAAATCCGATATTGTTATTTATAATCTGTGTTTGTATTGTCATCAGTATGTTGTGATTTACGGTAACCATCCCGCTTTATTACTGACAGACATAGGACCAGTCAGGTAGTAGCGAAAGGAAGTGTTGATAACGACGATCTCAAATCGCCAAAATGATTTTATTTATTTTATTTCATTTCTTTTTCCAAATCGAAATGGTTTTCATTTCGTTTCCTGTGACAGAACCGATTGACCATCAACAGGGTTTAAACAGAAATGTGCATTGTATGTCATTGACTAATCCGATCCAGCAATGATATTCCTATATGTATTAATGATATGTTTGTTTATACGTTTTGCAGAAAGCAGACAAGGATGATCTGAATGACATACAGATTCGAATGCCAACAATAAACAGATCTTCTAGGTCGAGTTTAAATGCTGTAGGCACATCTACAAACAACAAGCCCAACAATACTCTTACTGTTACCACTGCTATTGTGACCCTCCCAACACCAAGTACTACCCCAGAGACCGAATCAGCCCAAACCCAGAGCACAAGCGGCACTATATCACCCAAATATGGCAGTCCAAACCCAGGACTAGCACAGAATCCAGGAAACGTCATACGGATTTCCACCTTGTGATAACAGGACATGGATATAGTTAGGAATATAGAAATGGCGTGTTGTGATTGAGACTCTCGAGATTTATAACAGTAGGATATTCGATGCTGTCGCGATTCAAGAAAACGTGTTCTTACTGAAGGTAGCGATAAAGCGTGTACAAGAAGAGGTAAAAATGTTTTCTATTTTCCAAAAACTGGAAATTTCTGAGCAAAGAGTTTCAAAGAGTACGGTTTTATCCCAAAGTAAACATCTGTGAAGTCATTTGAAGAAATCAGGAAAACACTTTCCTGCTTACATCACTCATCTGAGCTCTTCAATCAAAAGCTGACCGGAAATTAATCAAAGGAGACGAGAAGGGTTCGGTGCGTAAACAGGGACATAATCTGTCAGTTTCCCTGTTCTATAGGCCGTATTGTAACATTTCAGTCACATTGCAATTGATGGCCTAAATATCGGAATGTTTTGCGGATACCAGTTTTGTTTCTCGATGTGTTTCCTACAATCCTAATGAGTACGTATGGCGATATATATCGGTAGGTGTGATTGTTCCTCAAATTAGACGAAAAACGGATACAAGAGGAAGGTAACACGAGAACGTTTGATTCATGAGATACCCGAATTCTACTTTCAATACCATACTTCACATTCTTTCATATCATATGAGACTGTTTTCACTTCCATGAAGCTGTAGATAATAGTATTTACATTTTTGTATAATCCTTAACCATGATGATCTCATTATATGCTATTCTTAATCCCTTGTTTGAATGATATGGATGGACATTAAGTTTTTTTATCGCGGTTTTATCATGTTGAATTTCCTAACGAATGGAAAACTTAACTTTTTCTCTGGGTTGAAATTTCTTGTCGAGTGGTGGTCGTTTTTATCCAGGGAGTGATGCTTCTTTAATTGTGATTGGGTAAGCGTATTTGTAATAGTATTTGGTTGTATCCAGTCGCTGGCACCAAAATGTAACCACGCTTCTATGGCGGCAGTCCAGACTAAATATATCCATGTTCACGGTAACGGTTCTGTCATAACATACAAAATAGTGTGACCGAATTCATATCTATTTGTAACGAGCGGTTTTTGGTTATCTAGTTTCATAAAGAGCCTTAAGTCGTAAAAGCAGGGAAACAGGAAGTAAGTTTCCTCAATGTATGTATATATATTTTTGTGGCTAAACAAGCTACTTTCATCGGTTTGGAGAAAATCTGTGCATACTTATCAAGGCGCTGGCCTGCTTCTATTCTCTTGAACATATGTTATAATATATTGTTAAATAATTTTAATTAATTTATTTATTTTGTTTCGAATTCCGCACTGAATTCGTGTCAATGAATATAACAAAGTTTTAAAAGCCACCCTTCAGCAGTCTGGACTGCTACCCATAGTCACATGTATTTTGAGGATCTAGACTTGTGTCCCAAGTATGCATTGTAAGTCTGATACCTGTTAAGGGCAGTACACGACACCATTACAACACAAAGAAAGTGTACAGCCTTTAACAGAACAAACAGCATGAAAATGAAATTAAGAGGTGTTTATTTCGAATCAACTTTCGGATTTGAAACCATAGCATCATTTTAATGTTTGGCGTAGTGACCGTTGTCCGTGCTATGACCAGTGTGAAATACCTTTAGCTTTATGCTGTACTAGTAGTTTGTGAGTTTGCCCACGAGGGATTTAACATGTAAATACCAATGAAGAGTCTTCAAATTGTTAACTTTTTTAAAATCAAACACATTTTCTTTTAAAAATTTGCTTCTATATATATTTATTTAAGATTTGTGAGAATGGTACGGTTACCATGGAATTAATGAGTGAAAGGGAATGGAACAGTAAGTTTGCATCTCATGCATACTGTCAGCGGATGAATCAGCTCAAGGTTTGTCCATGACTTTTTTATCTATTTTTTTAATGCAAATATTGCTTATGAGGTGTGCACACATGTGGAAGTGCTGTGCACTATTGCTTGCATTTCTTTATGAGATTAAGATATACATAGACGTCGTTCGGAATCAAAACGGAGTAGATTATTCCTATTTGGATGAAGACGAAATTCAAAGACGTCATATTTGGAAAATTAACCAGTGTCATTTAGCATTGCAGTAAATATGTTACCGTAGTTATGGGTACTAATAGTTCATTACATCCGTGACATTACAATGAGGGTGGCATCTACATAAGATTCATCAATATTTCTCAACCAACTATTTGTGTGTACTTTTTTTGACGTTCACCACATACACACGAAATGCTGACGTCACTTCGAGCGCATTGCATCATTGTGCTTTTGAGGGTGTTCCTCGGTGTAAGCCATTTTTCGATGATTAATTTAGCATTAGGGATTCATTGAAACTCCGTTATGGCGAGATCAGATACCATATCTCAAAAATGTTATCGGATGGCAGTCGAACACAACTGCTTGTTTTAACAAGATAAAACGTCTTTGTGAAATCTCCCGCTGTGTATGTCAACATAGGATAGTTTTGTTTTCTCTTTAACGACGTCAAAAATACTACCTCTTAACATTGGTTTTGCACTGAATACTCGAATGATACATTTCCAGATTGAGCTGCCATCTAGTGATTTTTTTACTCGCGCATGCCTCATCGGAACCATACTGCCACCCCAGAAGTCGTTTCGTTTGTGTTTGTCTTTATTTGTTTTAGCCAAACAGGCCCGACGAGAATTCTCCGAGCTTTGCCTGCGACGCAGAGCTCGCTCACTTATATATATATATTGTTTTATTGATCAATTTTATCCTCAGAAACAATTTCGCGTGATAAGTGTTTTACTTTTAGATAAATTGTTGATTGAAGGGATTCAAGGGAAGGGATGTTGCGACTTTACATTTCAAACGTCATGACTTCACTTTCTACAAACACAAAAAGTCCATACCTTTGATAGATCTTGTATACGTCATTGTATTGCAGGGGCCATAGGATCCTAGGTAACCATGCATCAAGTAATTTTATTCAATGCTAGCTTTCATAGCTTTTAGTATTTATTTTCAAATTTTAAATTTTGGAGGTTGACTTTCATTTTCGTTTTTCCACTAACAGCACCATAACCAGTGAATATTTTGCCAAAATGTGTTTCCTGGCTAGTATAAGAATAAAGAAAAGTGTTAGTTATAAAGATATGTTCTGATGTTTATAGTGAATTAGAATTCCTGCAGATACTAGGTAACGACAGTTTGTAAATACCAGCCGTATACGGTCTGTTACAACAAAAATCTAAATGTTTATCAATGTTGCTTGGTCCTGTAACAGTTAAAACCGACTCAGCAGGATACCAATTCTTTACCAGACTAAATAGATCTTGAAGCTTGCAACTGTTTATTCCTTGCCCAATGTTGTTATGATCTTCAAATTGTTTAAACATTGATCATAAGAACACAAAAAATGTTTAAGCACACCTGTGATTGATAACTCCACGGCAAATTAAAATGTCAGTTGCATCATATTAATTTAGAGGTGAAAACCGGTACTTTTCTTACTGTTTATCAAATATACAATCAGAATATATAGACATATATAAGAAACTTACCTTTCGCAGAATCTTGACACAATTTGCGCTTGGCGTCCATAGCTGAGCTGTTGCAACACTAGTGCACTAGGACTTCAAAATGGTCTTAGTGACATGGTAGAAAATAGCATTCTGATACAAATTGTGATAATTGTACTTAGATGGCGGAATATTGTACAACAGAAGATATGTATAGAATGCATGTATATATTTGTAGGGAGAATGGTCAATATGTTTCAAACTTTTTCGGAAAGGAATCTCAAACTTGCAGAGTGGACATGTGCTAAAGAAACAGGAATGATTATTAATAGACAGTAACTGTAAAATACCTGTTAAAATGCTGACCTGCACGGGACGGGACGGGACGGGACATTTATTGAAATCAAGCAAAAATTTGGAAAAAAAAAAAAACAAAAACAAAACAAAGAAATATTTCATCGTCAGTGTGTTGATATCTACAATATGTAACACTAATCATTCCAAGTTAGTGTATTTTTACTATAAAAAGCCAATGGAAATTTTGTCAGGAAGCATTTTTTTCTTTTTAAAGTCAAATATTGATAAAAGTGATCTGATGTGATTTATAAATATATATGTGTGTAACTTCACTCTCTTCAATATTACAGAAAAGAAGATTAATATTCCGGGTCTTATAGATAATATTAATATCTTTAAAAAATATTGAAATAAAAGACATAAAACTTACACTACAAAATTTCTGATATTGTATAAAATACATCTTATACTAGATAAGGTTTACAACTGTTATGATATTGGTAAAATTTTAATGATATGTTTATGTAGTACTTGTGATGTACTTTATGATATATATAGAACATGAAATATAGATTGAAAACATACATTGTTTACTTGATATAAATATTTGTTTATCTATATATGAAGAGTAATTCTACAGAACAGTTCGTAACAGGTACATATAGGTCTACATCTCACCTGCTTTATCAAAATTTCTGATTATTGTATGTTGAAATGTTATTACAAAGTTACGTGATAGATATTTCTCCATGAACGGATGCTAATTTGTCCTGTGATATAGATGTCGAATGTTTTTATTTCAATTACACGATGATGTTTCCCACGGTGATGTTCTAACTACTGCATGTCTTCTCTCAGTAGCTAAAGGATTATAAAGTTACAGAATTGTAAACTTGGCGCCGTGTCTTCTGTATCTGATCTTCATTGTCTCCTTACTTTGTCAGTGTCTAACAAACCATGTAAAACCCCTATTGTTTATATATAAGGTTTGCTCATAGAAAATGACCGTCTGATATTGTTTGGTAGTTTTACGTTTGAAAAATGATATTAGCCGATATTTCACAAATACTAGATTTTTTTCTGAGGCAGCATCGATATAAAAGAAAACAACAACAACATTTGGTGGTTTTGATTTTATATAGAAATAGCGGGGCGTGATACAGTAGCAGTTAAGCATGCGGAATCAGCAGAATCATTATTGCCAAAATTTTCTATAATAACCTGGGGATAAGTCCCGAGGTTAACGAATGGTCTAGTGTATAGGAAATTCCGAATGTTCGTTGTTCTCAGGCTATTGCCGGAAATGGCTCACTATGCACTTTACATCAATATCCAGCAGTTTCGTTTTTATTTAGTTGGTACTGGGAAATGAGCAAGCTCCAACCTTGTTCAGAACATACAGTAACATCTTGGGACACTGTGACAAGTATTTAAAAGTGTAAGGCTTGATACTGTAAGCTTAACATGGCGACAACGTGATATTTACTACCTTATTGTGTCGCAAAGACTTAAGGGTACGTACACCTTTAAGGTTATAAGTTAAGTAACTGTGACGTGGACACTTCAAATGTTCAATTTAAAATTTAAATGTGGCTCTTTCACCAAAGGAACCCGAGAGAATAAAGAAATTTTAAATCCGATTAAAATTCATTGAAATTGAGTTATGCTTCCGAGACAATTTATTTTTAAAACACTCTCAAGTATTTCTAAACAGTGTTATATAGTAAGAAAAAGGAGTCTGACGCTAACTATGATAACTTAAGATATCTTCTTAAATAGATTTTCTCTTATCTGAACGACAATTCCATGGCTTATTTATCTATGATCGGTCTCATTTTTCGTCTGTATTGTTGAGCTGATATAAACTTTTCTCCAGTAGCATTGTCACAAACCTGACATATTGTGACTAAGAACCAAACATGCGCAAAAACGAGAATATTTGCTACAGCTATCCTCAATTGACATCAGGTAGTTCTATATAGCATTTTGGTTTGACCTATTTGGAAATTAGAACGGTAATAACACTAAAAATTATTTTGGTTTAATTTGACACCTTGTCTTCCCGGTTCATACGATTCACGTGCAGGTAAAGAAAGAGATCTTGTCTTTATATGTACAGTATAGTCAAAATTAATACAGACTTCATGACAGTAGCAACATAAAGTAGCGTACATATCAGAGGCGCAAGATAAGTGTATTTCTGAACTATTGTGTGGTTAAATAGTCGAGGTTAAAATATATTATTACACATATTTCGAATAGCGGAATGTATAACACATAATCGGTTTATATGAATGTTGAAACTTTTGGATTGATATAAAGAGGAAAATGGACGTTAACTTTTCCAAACACGTGTGTAATTAGAGCAAATGTACTCGCATATGTACATGCATATTTATACACAAATAAGACATCTATGTCCAAAAATGTGTGGTTAGAGGCAAATGTTCTCACACATGTACAGGCATATATACATAGCGTGTGTGAGTAGAGGAAAGTATACACAAACATGAGAAAAGAAATAAACATACCTGTGATAGGACAGTACATGTGGCCCACTAATGTATCACACATGTATCACATTATATAAGGTCACTGTGTTGATGGAAACAAGTGTGTTGGTATATCTGTTCTTCATTAGATAACTACTACAACACATGAACAGTTTTACTTATATCTATGATTAAACCATTCAGCAATGCATTCACGTGGCCATTTCTGATCTAACATCTATTTATCTACTGGACCGTTCAAAGGTCTCACGTTGATTGGAAATACAACACATTCAGGTATATATGTAAATATATTCTTTTGCTAATGTAAGACAAAACTATTGTTTGAAGAGTACGATTGACTGATACACTTACTGGCAGCTTCAACCGTAGTACTCATCACTGTTATATCGTGACTCCTTCCGTTCTGAAACTAGATTTTTCAGAACGGTTATAATTTTCATAAGTCTTCATTATTCAAACATAAAGAATGACACGAGCATGCCATGATATACGTCTCGTAAGACTAAACGCTACCGTGGATTTTCAGTCTGGTTTACGATAGTGCGGGTTTAAGTAAACTTTTGAAGTAAAACATATTTAAAGCGATACTGAATTAGACATTGTCTTCAAATATTTCATTTTCAAAGTTTGTAATTGTCGCAATTTTACTCTTTTCTCCAACAGAACGACAAATTGTTCCCCTCGAAACTAACATCCTCTATATTATCAGTCATGTTAATTTGGTGACATCGTCAAATTGTGCGTCCTTCAAGGGGGTGCTCGATTTAACTACTTTCAAGTCTGCTTTAGGGGATACTCGATTTAACTAACAAGTGTTTACAAATATCAGTTAGAAATCAACACACAAGTCTACTTTAGAGGGTTCTCGATTTAACTATTTACAGATCTCAGTAAGGCATCGTCACACAGTGCCTATTTCATGGGGTAGCCGTAGTTTTACTTACGAGTGTTTACAGATCAGCACTATTAGTTTCTATAGGAAATTAAAAAAAAAAAAAACACAATGTGCAAATTTTATGTTAACTGAATTCAGTTTCGTGTTGTTCATCTTCAATGTTCTGTTCATCAACCGATAATGTTTGTATCTGTTTTTAAACAGCATTGTATATGATATATTGATGTGAAAATATTACACTTGTGACTTTAGTAAAGAATTTCGTTTGCCAAATCCTTCAGTTTACTTCTAATCTTAAATCTTACCGATATTTGAGAATCTACAAGAAGTTTTTTCCCCATTAACTTAAAACAACAATAACATTTTGGAAATTCTTTACATTATCCTGTCCCTCTTTGCCAACAATAATTGGCTTCTAACCTATGTAATACTGTATCTGCCAAACAGTGTTTTATTGTAATGTAAGGATGCTTAAGATTTCCTGTGAGTGTTTTGTGAATTTTCTAACTACACTTTATATCTTAATTGTGCTTTAGAAACATGTCCATTGCATTTCCGTATTCTTTTTATATAAACATATTGAAGTAGACATTTTGTTATCGTAATTTCAAAGGGCAAAGATGTATCGACATATTTTTTATTTCTAGGTACAAGAAAAAAACATACGAGTAAAATTTAGATGGACTTTCCTATACAATGTAGTGAAACTTGCTAACTTTCAATCTAACTGCTCGTAAAAACATCGAAAACGAATTACCCATAAATCACAGTATTGAAAACATTTCACACTTAAGAGTTTTCATGAATGACCAACCACTATCAGAAAAGCATGTCACGATTTATCAGATAACTAGTATTTATTGCAAAGACTGATAATGTATGGACTCCCTCTCTCTATATATATACCTTTAACAAACTTTGGTGATGAACCGTTCCATTTATATACCATTTTCAACTTTTGTTTCAAAATAGATAGAATGTCTCTCAATTTCTTTCTTTTTTTTTCTCATTTTCAATACGCTAGTGAAAATTTATTTTTCACATCTACACATTTTTCTTTTGCGTACGCATTTTCAGCACATGATATTATACTAGACAATTGCGTTGGTGAGATTTCGCTCCCTGCGTGTGGTTTATAAGATTTAATCCGACCATGTAAGTGAATTTATGAATGTGAAACTTTAGCTTGACTGCTACACTGAAGGTCGGGCTCCTGTACATATTAATCAACGTTAATTATCCACCTGTTTTTTTCCATCTTTTTTGGCAAATGTACATTTGACAAGTGCAAGTAGGTGTAGAACGAAGGATCCCGTTGTTACATTTTTGATTACGAATAAAATCCCAACAATACCAATTCATTGTTTTCTGTGTATTCTGTTGGTAATGTGTTAATTTTTAATATAAGTTTGTGTGTAGCTGGATTATAGTATACACATTACTTAATAATCAAGCGGAGCATCCGCTAGTGAGTATTGGATTAAATAGCATCAGTATGGTTCAGTTCTCTTGTTTAAACAAAATACTTAAAGTAAATAACGACATTTCATAGGAATCTTAATTCAAAACACAAATTCGATGAGACTGTGGCAAATTATAAAAAAGGGAAAGATTTATTAATGACTCTTTAAATAGTGCAAGGAAAATTAGACCGGGTGTTCCGGAAGGGTGAGCGTCCAGCTTCTTATCGCACAACAGAACCACAGCCATGATAACAAGCATCAAACACGTCCAGCTTCTTATCGTACAACGGAACCACAGACAGGATAACAAGCATCAAACACGTACAGAATAATATCGTACAACAGAACCACAGACAGGATAACAAGCATCAAACACGTACAGAATAATATCGTACAACAGAACCACAGACAGGATAACAAGCATCAAACACGTCCAGCTTCTTATCGTACAACGGAACCACAGACAGGATAACAAGCATCAAACACGTACAGAATAATATCGTACAACGGAACCACAGACAGGATAACAAGCATCAAACACGTACAGAATAATATCGTACAACGGAACCACAGACAGGATAACAAGCATCAAACAAGTACAGCTTCTTTTCGTACAACGGAACCAACCGGTAAACTAACGAGCATCAAACACGTACAGAATAATATCGTACAACGGAACCACAGACAGGATGACAAGCATCAAACACGTACAGCTTCATATCGTACAACGGAACCACAGACAGGATAACAAGTATCAAACATGTCCAGCTTCATATCGTACAACGAAATCGAGCTTTTCTCTATGAGATAACAGAATGTGTACATCAGTTCGGCTGGATTGAAACCAAAACTGCTTGACAGAGGCCCAATTTTTTATGCTCTATGCTGACTGCAGTGTTGAACAAGAAATTCACTTATATATCTATCAAATTCAATGTCCTATTTTCAGAAATATATAGTCCAACTGTTCATTAATGGAGTTCATGCAAATGAAGCATCCGAGAATTAACACATTTCATGTTATCCATATCGCTAGTATTACCAGTACATACGGAAATCACCCAGTGATATTTACACGTTTCTGGCAATTCCAATCAAGACCTTGTGAATCACAACATATATGCACATGGACTTAAACACGCAATGAATGAAAATTAAAAAAATAAATGGAATGTTCATGAAAAATGAGAGACGCTATAAAAACAACCAATATTTGACATCAATAAAACAGAAATTCTTATTACACAACCAGTACAAGATTGGTATGTGACATTTCCATGACTACACGGTCACCTTCATCTTACAACCAGCAGAAGATTAGGATGTGACGTTTCGATAACTATGCGGTCACCTTCATCAGACAAATGACAAGTGTGGAGTTACCTTCATCAGACAAATACTAGCACTGACGTAAGTTGTAACGACATCTACACTGTTACCTTCATCAGACAAATGACCAGTGTGGAGTACTAGCACTGACGTATACGAGATCTACACGGTCACCTTCATCAGACAAATGACCAGCGTGGAGGGTACTAGCACTGACGTTCGCAGTGCACGAGATCTATACGGTCACCTTCATCAGGCAAATGACCAGCGTGGAGCGTACTAGCCCTGACGTAAGTTGTGAGATCTACAACATACCTTCATCAGACAAATGACAAGTGTGGAGCGTACTAGCACTGACGTAAGTAGTGTACGAGATCTAACGGTCACCTTCATCAGACAAAAAAAACTGACGTAAGTGTACGAGATCTATACGGTCACCTTCATCAGACAAATGACAAGTGTGGAGCGTACTAGCACTGACGTAAGTAGTGTACGAGATCTACACGGTCACCTTCATCAGACAAATGACAAGTGTGGAGCGTACTAGCACTGACGTAAGTAGTGTACGAGATCTATACGGTCACCTTCATCAGACAAATGACAAGTGTGGAGCGTACTAGCACTGACGTAAGTTGTATACGAGATCTACACGGTCACCTTCATCAGACAAATGACAAGTGTGGAGCGTACTAGCACTGACGTAAGTAGTGTACGAGATCTATACGGTCACCTTCATCAGACAAATGACAAGTGTGGAGCGTACTAGCACTGACGTAAGTTGTGTACGTCACCTTCATCAGACAAATGACCAGTGTGGAGCGTACTAACACTGACGTAAGTAGTGTACGGTCACCTTCATCAGACAAATGACCAGTGTGGAGCGTACTAGCACTGACGTAAGTTGTATACGAGATCTATACGGTCACCTTCATCAGACAAATGACCAGTGTGGAGCGTACTAGCACTGACGTAAGTTGTATACGAGATCTATACGGTCACCTTCATCAGACAAATGACCAGTGTGGAGCGTACTAACACTGACGTAAGTTGTATACGAGATCTATACGGTCACCTTCATCAGACAAATGACAAGTGTGGAGCGTACTAACACTGACGTAAGTAGTGTACGAGATCTATACTGTTACCTTCATCAGACAAATGACAAGTGTGGAGCGTACTAACACTGACGTAAGTAGTGTACGAGATCTATACGGTCACCTTCATCAGACAAATGACAAGTGTGGAGCGTACTAACACTGACGTAAGTAGTGTACGAGATCTATACGGTCACCTTCATCAGACAAATGACAAGTGTGGAGCGTACTAACACTGACGTAAGTAGTGTACGAGATCTATACTGTTACCTTCATCAGACAAATGACAAGTGTGGAGCGTACTAACACTGACGTAAGTAGTGTACGAGATCTACACTGTCACCTTCATCAGACAAATGACCAGTGTGGAGCGTACTAACACTGACGTGAGTAGTGTACGAGATCTACACGGTCACCTTCATCAGACAAATGAGTGTGGAGCGTACTAACACTGAGTGTGGAGCGTACCTTCATCAGACAAATGACCAGTGTGGAGCGTACTAACACTGACGTACGTAGTGTACGAGATCTATACGGTCACCTTCATCAGACAAATGACCAGCGTGGAGCGTACTAACACTGACGTAAGTAGTGTACGAGATCTACACGGTCACCTTCATCAGACAAATGACAAGTGTGGAGCGTACTAACACTGACGTAAGTAGTGTACGAGATCTACACTGTCACCTTCATCAGACAAATGACCAGTGTGGAGCGTACTAACACTGACGTAAGTAGTGTACGAGATCTACACGGTCACCTTCATCAGACAAATGACAAGTGTGGAGCGTACTAACACTGACGTAAGTAGTGTACGAGATCTACACGGTCACCTTCATCAGACAAATGACGAGTGTGGAGCGTACTAACACTGACGTAAGTAGTGTACGAGATCTATACGGTCACCTTCATCAGACAAATGACAAGTGTGGAGCGTACTAACACTGACGTAAGTAGTGTACGAGATCTACACTGTCACCTTCATCAGACAAATGACAAGTGTGGAGCGTACTAACACTGACGTAAGTAGTGTACGAGATCTATACGGTCACCTTCATCAGACAAATGACAAGTGTGGAGCGTACTAGCACTGACGTAAGTAGTGTACGAGATCTACACGGTCACCTTCATCAGACAAATGACCAGTGTGGAGCGTACTAACACTGACGTAAGTAGTGTACGAGATCTACACTGTCACCTTCATCAGACAAATGACCAGTGTGGAGCGTACTAACACTGACGTAAGTAGTGTACGAGATCTATACGGTCACGTAAGTAGTGTACGAGATCTACACGGTCACCTTCATCAGACAAATGACAAGTGTGGAGCGTACTAGCACTGTAAGTAGTGTACGAAATCTACACTTCATCAGACAAATGACCAGTGTGGAGCGTACTAACACTGACGTAAGTAGTGTACGAGATCTACACTGTCACCTTCATCAGACAAATGACCAGTGTGGAGCGTACTAACACTGACGTACGTAGTGTGCGAGATCTATACGGTCACCTTCATCAGACAAATGAGCAGTGCGGAGGGTACTATCACTGACTTACGTAGTATAAGTCATCTATACAGTCACCTTCATCAGACAGAAAACCAGTTTGGAGCGTACTAGCACTAACGTACATAGTGTACGAGATCTACACTGTTACCTTGAGTGTGGAGCGTACTAACACTGACGTAAGTAGTGTACGAGACATTATAATCCTATGTACACTGAGGTCGGAAATAGTGTGACGAAATGGTAAACAGATTAAAGACCGAAGAATAAAGTTGGTAACAATGAACGGAAGTCAATTCGGCTACACTCTTCTGTTTAACACTTGCTCATAGATGTGCGAGAGTCTGTGACACCCACCCCCCCCCCCATACCCCCACCCCCCCAACCCTTCACCAACCTACCCCCGGGCCCGGGTCTCTCATTAAAAGATCAAGGGAATATATTTTTTAAGACTGAAACACACTAATTATGAACAGGATCAGTTTCAATTACATAACAAATGACAAAATCCAGGAGAAAATGTCTGAAATTTTACACTAAAAAAAATATATCAGCTTCAAAGACTGTACAAACGTCTCATAATGCAAATTTAGAACTCGATACCGCAGGACCAAATTAGGAATGACTGTGAAAACAATAAAGATATAATTGTTAAAGTTTAGGCTGTGTAATACAACACGCATACAGCACTTTAAGCAGAATCAGCGTCAGCTGTTTCGAGTTTCAAAAAATGTGCATGATAAAATGTCTGACCATTGTCAATAACACACATTGTCGATCGTTTTAACAAATACAAAAGAACTTTGGCTGGACACGTTTGGAAATTGTCTGTATTACATAGCGTATACAATGTTGACTGATACACAAATCAGCTTTGTAACTGTCCCTTGTTTAAATTTTAAGCGTCTCCCAGTTAAACTAATCTTCTATATAAAACGTATTATTGAACAAACATGTTAAGATGTATATTTATAATTATTTTGCTAAATTCAAATTACCAAATAAAATATGGAACATACTTGAAACATGTTGTACTTTTGATACCACATTCCAAGTTTCTGCTCAAAGGGAAATAACTCTGGTAATCACAAAATTTTGTAAGACGATATATACAGTACGCCCAATATTCCCCAGGCGCCACCTCTGTATTAGACAAATAACAAATCACAGACAACAATTCATTCAAAAATATATAAACATGAACTTTCTTCAATCTCCCCGCTAAATAAACTGGAATACGTCACCCCGTGGTTTGCTGTAACCTGAAAGTCACGTTTTAATTCATATACATGTATCTAATATTCTTTCGAAAGTACCAGACACATTGTAGAAATGTAGGTGAAAATTCACACATTTGTTGAGTTAAGGGATTGATGCACCTTCCTACCTAATTTTGACATATCTTTCGATCCGTTTGGTTTTCCTCGCTCACCTCCTCTTTTCAAAGTTTAGGCCCTTCGCCTTACTAACGAGCCCTAGAAGGACAAAAGAGTTGTATGAAGCAGTATAATTAACTATTTAGGCATACTGTATCGAATTAAAAATTTGTATATAAAGTTGCTATTTACTGAGCAATCTTTGTCCCATTGTCCCATTGTTCTGTAAAAATAATAATAATAATTACCGATTTATTTCATCGCACTGAAGAGCTCGTATTTCTGTCTGTGATAACTGCACCAGTTAAATTATTTTTAAGTATCCAGTTTGGATGTGTTCTATAAAAAACGTGGACAAAAAGTCGACTTTGAAACGGTTACCAAAACCAACAAGGACATATCAACATGTCAACATAATCATATTCTAAACTCAGGCTCAGTAAAAATAGGACAAGATATGATTAAAGGAAAGATTTACACGGAGACTCCTGAAAAAAAAAGTACAAAAAGAATATGACGAGGTGACCCGAAGGGAACCAGAACACTAACAACAAACAGATCCCCCGAATATTCGTTCCCCACTGGAACTGATGTCAAAGAGGGTCAGCTTACTGTTTCTAACTGATTTTGTCTAATACTGCTGAAAACAAACTCTCTACCCAGGTTATGCAATGTAAAGACCAAAATACATTTTTATTGTGGAACATATTACGTATTTCTTCTAGTATTTCAACATATGTAAGTGAGTGATATCCTTACAATTTTCTTTTTACAGCAAAACATTTAGAAATAATTTGTGTTTAATCTTGTACAAATAGACTATGTTGGTTTTGAGTATGATACTATCTAGCACCAAGTGTCTTTTATTAGTCTGATGGAAAAGGAGCGAACGGAAATGTTCATAGATAGATATATATATCGACATGTAAACAGAATTTAAACTTTATATCGAGGAAAAGAGGGTACATGGTGGACAAAACACTGAAAAACTACATGTAGAATAAGACCAAGTGTTCTGGAAGGTAGTCCCCTGCTTCACCGACGACACTCGCCATCTAAATCTTGGTCAATCTAAATAAATTATGACAGGTTATCTATGAGAACAAGGTAAAAACAAGAACCCACCACGCATACAAACAAGCATCATACTCATTGGACCCTACACCGAATAAAGGAAACAGAACAGCCTTCAAGGAGGCCATCGTGATCACCATCAAACTGTGATCGATATTTCAAACCTTGTCAGTTGATATGCAAAATGTCGACATCTTGGGGATCGTGATACCAGGAACAAGTCCTTCAACTTTCAATTAACTGCGAGATGTAAACACCATTTACACAAAGAGCCCTGGGAGTTCCGGAAGAGTAAACGCCTTCCGTCTCATCGACGACAGTCTTAATTGCATCTTGATTTATTTCACAAAAGCTATCAGCTTATATATATCACTTTATTTGCCTAGTTGGATCGCGCGGGGGATCCTATTGTGGAAGAAAGCTGGTGTACCCATGGAAAAATAACGTGGTCTGACACGTGACCCCGTGCCTTTTCACATCAGATCTACCTAATTAAGAACTGGACACTTTAACTGTTTTATTACAAATCCATGACCCTGTGAAAGGTTAAGCATACCAGGATATCATATATGGTGTGACTTGGGTACTTTTCAGCGAAGGTACCTACTGTACTAATAGACAGAAGAAGGTACTGTACTAATACTATAGACAGAAGTAGATACTGTACTAATAGACAGAAGTAGGTACTGTACTAATACTATAGACAGAAGTAGATGCTGTACTAATACTATAGACAGAAGTAGATACTGTACTAATACTATAGACAGAAGTAGATACTGAACTAATAGTATAGACAGAAGTAGATACTGTACTAATACTATAGACAGAAGTAGATACTGTACTAATAGACAGAGGTAGGTACTGTACTAATACTATAGACAGAAGTAGATACTTTACTAATACTACAGACAGAAGTAGATACTGTACTAATACTATAGACAGAAGTAGATACTGTACTAATACTATAGACAGAAGTAGATACAGTACTATAGACAATAGTAGATACTGTACTATAGACAGAAGTAGATACTGTACTAATACTATAGACAGAAGTAGATACTGTACTAATACTATAGACAGAAGTAGATACTGTACTAATACTATAGACAGAAGTAGATACTGACAGAAGTAGATACTGTACTAATACTATAGACAGAAGTAGATACTGTACTAATACTATAGACAGAAGTAGATACTGTACTAATACTATAGACAGAAGTAGGTACTGTACTATAGACAGAAGTAAATACTGTACTATAGACAGAAGTAGATACTGTACTAATACTATAGTGTACTAATACTACAGACAGAAGTAGATACTGTACTAATACTATAGACAGAAGTAGGTACTGTACTAATACTATAGACAGAAGTTGGTACTGTACTAATACTATAGACAGAAGTAGGTACTGTACTAATACTATAGGCAGAAGTAGATACTGTACTAATACTATAGACAGAAGTAGGTACTGTACTAATACTATAGACAGAAGTAGGTACTGTACTAATACTATAGACAGAAGTAGATACTGTACTAATACTATAGACAGAAGTAGGTACTGTACTAATACTATAGACAGAAGTAGATACTGTACTAATACTATAGACAGAAGTAGGTACTGTACTACTATAGACAGAAGTAGATACTGTACTAATACTATAGACAGAAGTAGGTACTGTTTGGATACTATTGTTGAAGAACTTTTCTGTGTCTACATATGCAAATTTTCCAATTTCATTTCCATCACTTTCATTCGGTATTAAACTTCTTAAATTTTTCATTTTCATTTATCGTCACTCGTATTGTGTGTTGAAGAGTTCAATCTTGATTTTTATTCGGTGCTGCCATTTGGTTGGGTGTTCCTTTAATTGTTTTACTCCCATCTTTGGTGTTGATTCTTTCATTCTGCATTTTAACATCTCAACTTTTAATTTTTCGCTGATCTTATTCATTGTAAAATTGCATTCTCCGTTCAGAGTTAAACTGCTTAAACTTCTTCATTTCTTTTTTACTTTAAACTAGTCAACTCTTTTGTCATTGCATCAGGAATGAAAAAGTCAATATTTTGCTTTTCCTTTCGATGAGCAGCTCACAAGTGCTTTGTTCTCTATCATTTTGGCATCGGTCAACTTGTAAACCGTTCAGGTTTTGTTCTGTGCTCCTGATCTGGATTACATTGATTAATTTCTAAATGTACCTAGAAACAAAAACATTAACTTCAAATGTCAACATCCTAATTGTTGAATAGTGACTATATTCAAAATCCGATAGAAATCACACTGTGGAATGGGGATATTCACAAAACACTTTCATAAAATGTCAATTATGGCCCATCCATAGTTCTTCTAATGATGTTGATTAAAAATAATTAAACATTCTTTTTCAAATGGAAGTGCAATCAACAAGATTTTATTACATTAAATGATACAAAGTTTATTCATCACAAGATCATCTATATTGTCATCACCAATAATCTTTGTCAATGTTTTTTGTCTATTATGCCATCAGTATGAGACCCTGCAATAAAACAACCAGCTTAAGCTAAAATCCAACTATCTACATTGTTATGTACTTTACAAGTGTGTAATTATAAATAAACATATATGCATTGGTTTTCTGGTTCCTTACACAATTAAAGCCAGTATTTCCCAGTTATCTAAACTAAATCCCTCAAAGTAAATAGAACTCCAAATAACCAAAGTTTTATTCTGACATGTATATATGACAGGGTATAATTAAAAACCATCACATAAAAACTATTGAGGATTTTTATCCTCCTTACTACAGACCAAATATATATATGTATATATATATATATATAAATTCATGGCATAACATTACATATGTAAGTAAACTAGCATGGTATCAGCTAAGGCAGTTACACAATCATACCTTTACTTCCTAAAAGTACTCACCTTATATTTAGTCAACATGATATTTATGTGTACATTTGAGATCTTTATAAATATTTAAAGTCATGACTGCTTCTATTTCACAGATGAAATCGAAGACGATAGCTGCTGCCAGAATATCACTTTGTATTACAAAATATCGGCTGTATAAAAAACACATCCAGACAATACCTATATATACATACAAGTATGTTAAATCACTCACATCTTCACACAGCAGTTTTACATCACCCAGGATCAACATCTCTATCTATAACAAAAAACCTATATCATCATACTAAGCAGTTTTCACAATTCAATTCTCTCAAATAAATGTTGTTTAATGTTGTTAAACTTTTTAACTGTAAACATAAAGTTATTTTCCATGATTTAAATTTCTGTAAGTTAGCTTTTTTTTTCTTTTTTGTTTTTATTCTTGTTAGAATTACTGAATAGACAACAAGAATCTTTAAATATTTCACTGTGTCTTTTTCTGCTTCCTATGATTACCAATGTTTATTCATCATATCACATTGTCTAGTTTTCTTTATTTGTATCTTATTACTGAACTGTTGAACCCTTGAAAAACTAGCCTTAAGCATATTTACACTGATAAATGTTTAAAAAATAAATACACCCAAAACAAAACAAAAATCTACACAGTAAATACTCAGCTACAATGAGCTACACTCTATGTCATCCACTCTGTCAGCTAGACTCTAACAACAACTGATAATACTCTTAGTTTTCAGAACACATGTACATATTTCTAATACAATGACACTGTTATCGGTGACCACTGATAACACTATCAGAAAAGATACAAAATTTGATGACACTCCTTAAATCCTAATCAGACTGGTCACACTGGTTAAATACTAGATGTTTCCCGCGACTAGAAAAATACTTTCTGCTAGATCAGTGCAACAGTAATACCAGTTTTGGTATTTTCACAACACTTGGAATTCCCATATCCATAAATATTTGACTTGTTTGGTTCAAAACCTAGGACATCATTTTAAGGGTAAAATCTTTTAATATTTGATATATTTAATGTGACAGTAAAAATAACCTTTTCATCCTCAGTCTTATTAGTTTTCCATAGCCACAAAAACTAAAGTTTCTACCAAACAAACAGTTCACGTAATGTGCTAGTTAATCTCACAATTAGAGAGATTGATTTTTTTCAGCAGAGTCTTAATGGTTTGGTGTATAGAATTTATGTTTAAATCTTTGCTATAAAACTCAACTTTCTGACACAATTTGCATAGAATGGTTTCAGCTTTAGCATATGTTCATATGTGTCAATACTTGCCACAGATACATATCTAGGTACACTTATCAACACTTCACTCATATCATCCGATCATGTGAAATTACATATATATACTGGTTGGGGGTTTTTTTTGTTTGTTTACTGTTTAATCTTTGTGACTTGTACAATGATACACAACATGAAATACACATAATTAAAAAAGGAAATGTATAATGCTGGTCAAACAAGTCAAAACTACACCCCATCAATCAAAAATACAGCCCAATTATGCCAGACAGGTAATCTTTCTTTCGTGAACAAGCAGTATATTTATAGAGATGCACCTGATTTTGTCCCCTCTATTTACAGCAGTGTCTCAAAATATTCATGGATTTCATAGCAATCATACAAATCAAATTTTTGCAATTTTCATTTCAAACCAATGAACAATATTTCCATGAATGAAAAATTCACAATCTGAATATAAAATGACATGTATACACACGTGTCTTATCATTTCAGGGATCGTATTTTCATGATCACGTTCATGTACCAGGAAAAAGCAAAAATTTCATCATCGCATAAATGACTGACAATACAGTAACATAATGAATACACCCTTTACTTGTTAAAAGTACTTTTCATTCATCCCACAAAACAAACCATAAGGTCCACGAATCTGTATGCATTTGAATTCAGGAACTTTTTTTCAAACTGAATTACTTCATAATTGAAAATGTTTATTTCTGATATTTCCAGCTGTAAACAAAGCTGTAAACAATGTTATTATGCTACATTAATAAGAAGGTCAAGATTCTTTTTTATTATTTTGAAAAGAAAAATCATCCAAGGTGTATTGCTAATTAAAGACCTTAATGACAAGTAAATCAAAAAGAGATTCTAACCACAGTTCTGGTCCACATAATACTACATTACTGATGTATTATAAAATGCCTTCTATATAATTATACAGCATAGCTTAGACAATGAGTTGGTGTTTGTTGCAAATAAAAAAGAAAAAAAAGGGGAAATTGAATTGTTTTAATTTACTTTGACTGTTTAAGGAAAGAGAACACAACATGTTTACTGCAGCTTCAGATATATGTACAATATATGTTGGAGTAACCCCCGTGACAAATTGCACTGATCTATGTTAAACAAAACAAAAATTAACAAGAGTGCCGTCGACACAATATACGCAGCCACAAAATATAAAGATCAACTTTGGTCCTTTTAATTATCACTTTTAACATGTCTGTATCATAAATCTTACAAAAATCAATGAACCGTAAAATTGACCCTTCATGCACATCTACCCATTGTATTAGTGACATTGAGCAAGTTTTATGAAAATCTTATCATTAGTTTAGGAGGAGTTGCGTTCACAAGGCTCAACTATGAGCAAGCTACAGATACAAAGTTGAAAATGACATAAATCTTACAAAAATCAACGAACCAGTTGTAGTTATGACATTGAACAAGTTTCATGAAAATCTGAAGATTAGTTTAGGAGGAGTTGCGTTCACAAGAAATGGATATACAGACAGACACACGGAAGAGATGATGCCAATATATGAATGCCTCCAGCGGCATGTAAAAAATTATACAGAAAATGAATCTATTTTTGTTGTATATCAAAAAGTGAAGATTTTGAAATATTCACCTTTCATAAAAAAGGTAAAAATATAGTGATTTGATCCGTGACCCAATTCCACAAAAGCAGATATTTAAACATCAATTTTGATTTGACTAAAGATGACTTTAAAACCACAAAACCTCATATCTAGCAGAGTTCCATTAAAAACATGCTGGAATGTTACATAAAATCAATTATTGTTTATAAAACAACCTCTTCAGATCTTAAACATCTAGAGAAATTCTATCATAAGAAATCCTATTACATTTTAGTCTATATTCCTTTATTCAAAATCCTACATAGATTGTCTTCCTTGATTGCATATTTCTGTTAAATAAACTTTGTAATTTTTTTTATCAATAAATTAAATAAAAATAAAAAAAGGGATTTTTGTTAACAGTTTTGTGTTAAAACTGACACTGAGAGCTGATGAGAGACTGATGTACACAGACCATCCACCCTATGATTTGTAGACTACATGATGATCTGTGGTTCTGGTACTGATGTTCCTATAGATTTGTGTGGTAGAATTCGTCCACCGTTGATGTACAGCTCATCCTTAACTGTAACATCCTCACCCAACACAGACACATTCTCCATCCTCACCTTGAAAAATAAATGAATAAAATAAATAAATAATTAAATTCATAAAAAACAAAAATCATAATTTTATCACATGTATATGGGCGAGAATTCGCTAATGAAATTTCAGTGTCAAAGTAGTTTATCCAATAAAAAAACAAACAAAATCATCCAAGTATGGAGAATAAACATTGTTTAAATATCAAAGTTGGTTTATTTTTATCGTCATATGAAAAAACAAATTGATCTCATTGATTAAATAACAAGGAAGCAGAACAAGTTGTACACCGTCAGTGGATAAATTATAGGCAAAAAGTGTGACATTTCTGGAGTAGTGAAACTTCGAGTCATATTTATTAAATGCCTGAAGAATTGTGGTGCTGTAAAAGTTGTTAATCAACTGCAAAATGATCGGTCTATCGATAAAAATGCTTGTTTTGTACAGGATTTGATTAATGCTGCGAAAAAAAATAGGATTGAAAATAGACCAATGTATGTAATTTTTCGTGTCAACAAACGTTACGTGCACATTTCCCTCAGTAAATTTGTTTGGAAACGCATCATCGACAAGGCATTTGCGAATTTACTAAGTGTCAACACAAGGTACGATATGAATGTCGTAATTTTCATCAATCAATTGGAGTTCGGAAAATATATCAGGTAATAAAATATAATTAATTTTCGTGTCCAAACTACCCTAAAATACCCCATCTCTTTGGAACAGTTGTATTTCTGTAACAGATTGCGTAACGATAATGTTTTTTACTGAACATCAATATATCTATACTGAACACCAATATATCTAAACTGAACATCTATATATCTATACTGAACATCAATATATCTATACTGAACATCTATATATCTATATCAATATATCTATACTGAACATCAATATATTTCTACTGAACATCGATATATTTATACTGAACATCAATATATCTATACTGAACATCAATATATCTATACTGAACATCAATATATCTATACTGAACATCAATATATCTATACTGAACATCAATATATTTATACTGAACATCAATATATTTATACTGAACATCAATATATTTATACTGAACATCGATATATCTATACTGAACATCAATATATCTATACTGAACATCGATATATTTATACTGAACATCGATATATCTATACTGAACATCAATATATCTATACTGAACATCAATATATTTCTACTGAACATCAATATATCTATACTGAACACCAATATATTTCTACTGAACATCTATATATCTATACTGAACATCAATATATCTATATTGAACACCAATATATCTATACTGAACATCAATATATCTATATTGAACACCAATATATCTATACTGAACATCAATATATCTATATTGAACACCAATATATCTATACTGAACATCAATATATCTATATTGAACACCAATATATCTATACTGAACATCAATATACATCAATATATCTATATACTGAACATCAATATATCTATACTGAACATCAATATATTTCTGAACATTTATCATAAATCAATAAACTCCATGTACATGTAATTCCACTCAAGCACCAATGAAGTGATGAGAACACTAGGAAGAAGCTCCCTTTTTGAATTTAGTATACTTACCAATACATCTACGAATATGTTCTCTGTTTTATTTTTAGTACATTTTCCCATCAACCTAGGAAGGAGTTCTCTGTTTTATTTTTAGTACATTTTCCCATCAACCTAGGAAGGTGTTCTCTGTTTTATTTTTAGCACATTTTCCCATCAACCTAGGAAGGAATTCTGTTTTATTTTAGCACATTTTCCAATCAACCTCAGAAGGTGTTCTCTGTTCTTAGTATACTTACCCATCGCCCTAAAACACATTTCCAGCCTATGATACAAGATTCTAGCCAGGAGTGAGATTTGATGGTCGCCCCTTTAAGTATCGTACATCGTTTCACACACACACCATCCTCTATAACGACATCTGGTCCTATAGTCACATTTGGACCAATGCGACAGTTTTTACCAATCTTTGCACTTGGGTCCTGTGATAAAAGATATTACAAGGTATTTATTCTGTAATAAGTTAATGAGGCCAACAACATATAACTTTTTATAAAAAGTTTATGGGTGGACTCATTACAGGACTACAATGTTCAAATCATTACTTCTTCCTTAAAGTCGGAACTTCGGGAATGAACGGGAGAGGGGTTGGGGTGATGGTGTTGGATTAATTACAAGATCCCAAGGACAACACATTACTTCTTACTCAAAGTCAAAGTCAGGGGGTGGGCTTATTACAGAACCCCAGAGGGCCAATACATGACTTGTTACTCAAAGTCAGGGAGTTGGCTTATTACAGCACAAGGATAAAGCATTGTGAGTAACTGTACTGATTCACAATAGATATGGTTGGGGCTGGGATTGGAATTATTGAGGAATATATTGGTAAGTTTAAAAAAGAATTGATATTAGAAAGTTCTTTTTCTTTCTAATAACACTAACCAATTAAATTTTATTGAAACAAAATCAGAATTTGGTTTGATTTAATCAACTTACGACTAAAACATTTCCAACAATGCCTTGTCCGCTGTGTAACTGGTCAGGGGACTTCTGACGTAGGGAGCCTAGGTACATACACATTCCTGTGAGAAAATCTTTTGGCTGGCCAACATCCATCCAAAATCCTGTCATGTAAAATAACATGGTAAGCTTTCAATAACATAATTATGAAATTTTCTAATTTGAAATAAAAATCAGTCCAAATTATTATCTTTTTCTGACAAACTTAATGGGGTATTTTTTTTAAGGAAATGATGTTGTTTTTTTTATACATAGACTTGATCACAAACTTATAACAACTAAATGAAAAAGGGCCATCAGAGACTGGTTATGCTCTTAGAATGAGACTTATCTAAGTATGCAAAATAACAAAGGGCAACAACTCCTATATTATGCAAAAGAGAGTTATGGTTCTTGTACACTGCACTTCCCCTCATTGAGATCTATTTACTTTAAAGTTTTATGTTGATACCTCTTGTAGTTTTTGAGTTTTGCTTCAGGCAAAATTATGGCTGACAGACAAACAGACAAAGCGACAACTATATGCTCTCCCTTTAGTAAGCAAAAACAATTCTATCAATAACTTTTTAAGTTGTACTGACAATCATTGTATCTATTGTTTATACAGTTTCTAATCAACATAACAGATAATAAAAACAACAGTTTACATTTAATTACTAAACAGGACCCCTTTCATATACCCTGACAAACTGCTTCATCACCAATTCGTGACAGACATGAATATTTAATTATACCTTTTAAAAGCTTTGTCAAAACTCATATGGAATTAAAATAAGATTAGTATAAACCTGCATTCGTCCTTCCTGTATAAATCCTAGTTCAATTTGTCATACAATTGTGTTTGAATTACCTCCCTTGTCATTTGTTAAATCTACATTATTATATGAAATTGGATCACAAGTGTTATTGATATACATAAATGTACAAATAATTTAAGTGATAAATGAACTGATTGAGGCCAAATGACAATACATAATTTTCTTGTGAATATATTTTTCAATAAAAAAAAGCCTGAGATATTAAGTTTTCATACATCTTCAAGACATACCTTGCAGTTCCATGGTGTATAGATCACCATCACTGGCCATGTGTGGGAAAACATCTTTTTCAATAGAAGTAGGTTTCAACTGAAATCAGCATTAGTATTTCATAACAGATTCTGAATCATCAAACTTGATATCAATGACATAAACAAAGGATTGTAGCAGGAGATTGGGCAAAGAGAAAACAAGACTAGAATTCACCCTCCCCACCTCAAGGTAAAAACAAGACTAGAATTCACCCTCTCCTCCTCAAGGTAAAAACCAGACTAGAGTTCACCCTCCCCTCCTCAAGGTAAAACCAGACTAGAGTTCACCCTCCCCTCCTCAAGGTAGAAACCAGACTAGAATTCACCCTCCCCTCCTCAAGGTAAAAACCAGACTAGAGTTCACCCTCCCTTCCTCAAGGTAAAAACCAGACTAGAATTCACCCTCCCCTCCTCAAGGTAGAAACCAGACTAGAATTCACCCTCCCCTCCTCAAGGTAAAAACCAGACTAGAGTTCACCCGCTCCTTCTTAAGGTAAAAACTAAGCAACAATTCAAATATCTGACCTTTGGAGCTATGGACACATCCAAATTACTATCATTGTAGAAATGTATAGAAACTGCATGTCAATATACACCAGTTCCATTCACACTGTGAAGGTGAATTTCAAATTCACTTAACAGTATAACACTATTTGAAGCCAAATCCTAATATAACATTATATATACCTTTACCATTGTTATCTATGTGGTTACTGTAAAGCAAAGCAGTGGAAAATGTAATGGAAGAGAATGTAAAATACAATCAGACAAGCAGTACTTACAGGAATCCTGTTGAGAATTGATGGGTTAAATATATACATCCCAGCATTAATTTTATTGGAGACATATTCTTGTGGTTTTTCAACAAAGCGTTGTATTCTGCCATTTTCTGCATCATAAACAACAACACCATATTTGGACGGTTCATCGACTTTAGTCACCTGCAACAATTTAATTCATCCAATGAACAACAGTTTCACATAAAACAATTATTGCTTCGTGAAAAACATTTCATATTTTACTTACAATCAGGATCAGAATTACTTAGTCTACAAAGTATTGTCAACTGCATTTTGATACCAAGGGACAAATTTTAATAAAGAAAAGGGAAAAATAGTGAGGGAGGCAGAAAATGACTACAATATATTTTATTCATACATCATTTGAGGTCACTGAGGTATCTGGAAATTAACTGCGATCTAATTTGAGTAGAAATATTAAACAGTAATATTGCCCTTGTATTAAATGATTCCATCTTTCACATTTCTGACTCCTATTCCTTGACATCTTTAACTATAATTTTGGTGTTTATACAATTTATCTATAATAATGTTGATGTTGTAAAATCTGATATGCATGAGATAAGTATAACGTAAGTAAACGTTCTCACCATTATCGTTCCTTCTCGGCCGTGATGTTTGTGAAACTGAACCATTTGTTTAAAGGGAAAGTCACATATAACATCACTGTTGAGGACGAAGAAGGGTTCGTTATCTTGATTTAAATGATCCTTGGCTAATGCTAAGGGCCCAGCTGTAAGACAAAAACAACAACAATGCAGTGCCATGTCACTGATATAGATTAGTCGAAACACACAATGATGCAGCTTCAAGTTAACAAATATGTTTAAAGTTTGATTCACAGATCAATATCTTTGATATTTTGTTACCTGTTCCTAAAGGTTCAGACTCCAATGATATAATTATCTTCACACCCAACTGAAAATTAAAAGCAAAACATTCATATATAAACATGTAATATGAAATATCTAGTTGTAGAAAGCAGTAAGAGGTTACCAAGATCGACATTGATTTTGAACAAGAGAGAACATGACAGGACATGATGGACTGACATGGGTACCGGTTATAGTATTTGTAATGCAATCAAATGGCATGGACAATAAAATAACAAGAAAGACCCACAACTCTATCTGTCCTTGAAAAGTGTTACAGGGAAATCATGCTGTGTACAACCTTTAGTATCAAAATTAAGTACATATCAGATGATGTAACTGAGAACATAGAAAATATACTTAATGGGAAAAATGTAGTTCTGGTGACCATCCAGTCTGATAGAGAGACTGGATGTAAAATGTCACGTTTGATCATGATAAATACCAGGTATATGACTACCTTGGTGACCATCCAGTCTGATAGAGAAACTGGATGTAAAATGTCACGTTTGATCATGATAAATACCAGGTATATGACTACCTTGGTGACCATCCAGTCTGATAGAGAAACTGGATGTAAAATGTCACGTTTGATCGTGATAAATACCAGGTATATGACTACCTTGGTGACCATCCAGTCTGATAGAGAAACTGGATGTAAAATGTCACGTTTGATTGTGATAAATACCAGGTATATGACTACCTTGGTGACCATCCAGTCTGATAGAGAAACTGGATGTAAAATGTCACGTTTGATCGTGATAAATACCAGGTATTTGATCGCATATCTTACCTTCTTTTCCACATTCCTTATCTCCTGTTCCATCTGGTCGGCACGGTAACTCACAGCTAGTACAATGTGTGTGACACCAGCCTAGTAAACCAATCATACATAAAAACTATAAACAACACGTTGTATTGATTATTATACAGAACTTTTTCCATACACAGACTGCAGTAAATACAATACAGTGTAATGGAATTTTAAAACAGTATATCAAATTTGATGTTTAGTTTGCAGAAAATACAGAAAGAGTTCAAATCATCTTCTCTATGGTAGTCATTCTAGTACAAAATAAAAATATATTCATCATATGACTCCAAAATGAAATTCCTGATTACAGAGACCAATGCTATACTACATATATGGATAAAAAGCTATTGAATATGGGGTTCTGCAATACTCTATATTGTTTATGAAACGTGCATGTTTATATAACACATGATAACCTGCAAGTATCATGGAGGTACCAATTACAACCTCAGATTCGAAGTAAGCAAAAGGATGGCTTATTACAGGAGAATCAGAACTATTTGCAAGGATTTCAATAAGAACTGTCAATTATATAGTTATATTTATCATCAGGTGTTGACATACACTGGTGCCTATATATGTTATTGTGTTACAGTGCTTTTTTGTAACATTTAAAACAATATTCTTTTAATAACAGTAATCACACAATGAGAGAGAAAAGTTCCTGTTTACCTCAACCAGTGCTTCTAATTGATGTAGAAGCATAGGTTTATTTCCAAACTCTACCAACGGCTTTGCACAACTTAATGTCAAAGGTCGTAGCCTTGTTCCATAGCCTCCCACTAGAATCAAAGCCTTCATTCTTCAACTTCTGTTTTAGATCAGAACCTGAAACGGATTAAACAAAATTAACGATGCTCTAAAAATATTACTGGAAAGATCTCCATGTATGACAGCTATTTCTTCTATACAATAAGTGGATTTATATAATTTGAAAGGATTTTTGTTAAAACTTCAAATTCGTCACAGAAATGGATTTAAGACAATGTGTGCATATCCTTTAAAGTTGGATTTAATGTGAGCCCTAAGTATTGAATATGGACTTTTTGTGTAGAAATAGAAAAATTGGTTCAAATGTGATCATCATTGGCCAGCTGGGTCAATGGAACTTTTAGTGTAGTATTGATTGAAGTTAGAAACTGATGATTGCTTCAGAATTATCTTGATCCACAAAATATCTACTTAAGTATTCATGTAGATATAAAAAAAAATGTTATTATTCAAATATATAAGTTAATGATTGAAATACTGAAAAAAATCTTATTTCATGCTTACAATCTCTTCACAAGAATTTCGGTTTAAAGCCATCAAAATAATCTACATTCTAATTGATCGAACACAGATCACGATATAAAAAACAGAGCCCATTTCAACCATCTCCTTCTCAGGAAGTTTTGTAAGAATGGCAAGACCTTAAAACATTACTGTATCATTTTCTGAAGTCGACATAATTCCTTAGATTTCCTATTTTCTTGTTGATAAGATAAAATATCGCCACTTTTGAACAAAGATATTGGAGACTTATTATCTGCATTGTTCAGGATGATGGAGACTGGGAAAGATTATTCAAACCAACTTATCATCTGCTATCAGCATCACCCAGCATTACAAAAATGTTTGGAAATTAGTTTGATTGGATTGAGCATTATGCAAACATGTGATTTTCTGCTACTTTCATTTTGGCAAAACAAAAATATTTCCTATTTCCAGTTCAAAGATGAATTGATAAAATCAAGATCTCATGTCAATATTTTTGTCCTTACTTACTTACCATAATTTTTTCCAATATGCTACAAAAACACACATTTTTTGCTTTATTTTATCTTCAGAATCAAACACTCTAAAGTATCATATCATTTACAAGGCAAAGAGAAAATTGGAATCACAATGAAAAGTTGAACTAATCTGCAATTTAGGTCGGACTACTCAACAATGTTAGAGGTTTACAACAGGCAACTTTTATGACAGGCTCCTTTCACAGCAACATCAGATAATAAAATCAGCCAGCAAGATATTTCTATACTATAGGAGTTTGAAACCTGAATCCACTTATCAGTCATAACAGGGACGTATATACGTCATATACGTCCCTGGTCATAAGTAATAAGTAATAGTCGTAAGTAAATAATGGACGCAGGCAAAACAAATGTCGCAATATCCATATCTAAAGTTATATGATGATCAGGAGATGTCTCCTATAAAAATTCTAACCATGGAAGATTAATGATGATACAGAACAATAATACTCAAATGATTAAAAGACTGTGCAACTTGTAATTTTTCATGCTCACTATGTGCTGGAGGATACATTAAGAATATACGGATCACGAGTTACATCCCTTGGGCCGGCATCCTTAGGGTGTTGAAATATCGCGACACTGTTCAATGCTTATTAGGAGAGAACTAATAATAAGTCCCATCTCACAAAAACTGGAATAATGTCACTAATGTCAATTATAAACCATGACAACACAAAAACAATGATACATATAAGCTTTGTCTGATAGCTTAAATCCGTTTCAACATGTCATGTTTTGATTGCTGAATTTGTGAACGAAGCATGATGTTATTCAACAGACGGTTTTCATCGTCAACTAATGTTTCCCTAACCATATGCTGTGTAGATCATGATAATCAGGCAGATGTCTCAATGACTCTGCAATTTTCTTACCTGAAAATTGACACAGAGTAAAGTTGTGTGGATGTGCTATGACAGGGGCGAAACCGGAAACACGAGTAATTTAGACGCCACGACGCCTAACTGAATCGATAGCTGTACCCGAATACCGGAAGTCTAATGTGGACTTCAGACGCAGCTACGTATTTGCCCATTCACTCGTTTCTGGAATGTACTCTGTTTCGACTTAAATTTTCCAAAACAATAGGTCTACCTGCATCTTAAGCTTGAGATATGGCTACCTGTGTCAATTTCCGTAACGATTTATATTAGAACCAATTTTTGGTCATGTAGTTGAAATTTGTTTTACAAATACAAGTGACAACTAGAAATTGTTTGAAACAATTTAATGGACTTTTCATACTAACCAAACAATTAAAAATCTCTTTCACTCATCTAAAAAAAAGAGACTACTCAAAATACGGAAGAAGAAAAAGAATAAGACCCCAAAGACCTTGAACATGTGTCAAGGTAATTTATATTAAATTAATTTTCCACCACTCGAGTATGATGCTGACCAAACGTCATGACTTAAGGCCTTTTGGTTTTTGAGAAGAAGATTTTTAAAGGTTATTTCACAAAACTGAACCCTTGAAGTTTGACGCCTACCGAAAACCGGAAGTTGACGTATGACGGTGTGTTTTTTTGTCCAATAATGATAGTAATTTATCCAAGCATGCTACATATCAAATATGAGAACCCTGTGCAATAGGTATGTTGAAAAAAATGTTATATTAAACATTTTCACATATTTGACCCCTGTGGCCTTGAACATAAATCAAGGTCATTCATATCAACAAACATTATTTTCCACCACTTGAGTATGATATTGAAGAAATATCATGACCTTAGGCCTTTTGGTTTTTGAAGAGAAGATTTTTAAATTTTATATCACAAAATTGAACCCTTGAACATTGATGCCTACCGAAAACCGGAAGTTGACGTATGAATGTATATTTTTTGTTCACTTTGGTAGTACTTTATCCAAGCATGTTACATAGCAAATATGATAACTCTGCGCGTTTTGGCTATAGGAAAACATTATTTTAATGAATTTAACATAATTGACTCCAATGACCTTGAACATCGATCAAGGTCGTTCATATTAACAAACTTCATTTTCCACCACTTGAGTATGACTTTAACTAAATATCATGACCTTAGGCCTTTTGGTTTTTGAAAAGAAGATTTTTTGAATTTTGTATCACAAAATCGCACTTTTGAAATTTGACCCCCTTCTGGAAACCGAAAGTTGTCGTTTTATAGAAAAAAGTTTCATGAGAAATGTTATTTATATCTAATTCTACATCACATATCCAAAAGTTGAATTCTTTACATTAAGCCGTACATGAGATACTGACACTTAAGCTAAAATCAGACATGACGTCATGGCGACCATTCATTTTGCTTTTTCAACCTGGTTTAAATCTCACCAATCACTACAATAAACATGGGGAAACCTTCTCATACCAATTAAATAAGATATTTATTAAAGATTTTGGAATAATTCAAGTTCAAACTTTTTGTCGGGCTTTCAAAAGATCAAAGGAAATTTTCAAAATGGCGTAAAACGGTAACGAAAAACGTTACGAAAAAAGTGAAGACATCAAATTCATCAGATAATCTTTCTGCATCGATTTATGGAAGAATTTTTTTTAAATCTTGAAAAATGTGTGACCTTTGACCCAACAGCGAACTTTTTTATTCAACATATTTTCTTGTAACATGTCATGACAAAAAATAGATAAGGAAATTTTCTACAAATAATATACATGCACAAACTCTCCACAATGAATGGTTTTTAAGTTACAGCAGTTTTAATGTTTTTAGTTTATGACGTCATGGCGGCCATATTGGATGTTTGACCTATGTGAAGATGTCCCTGTAGCACCTTCAGACCTTCATTAAAACATACTAACAAAACAATAAACCTTTCTTTCACTCATCTAAAAATAGAGACTCCGTAAAATACGGAAGAAGTATAAGAATTAATAAGAATAGGTCTTTTCACCTTTGGGTGAAAAAGCTCAAATGTCTGGTGTCTTAATGACTTAAGAACAGGTCTATATCACAATTATAGTTTGAAATAAAATTATAATCAAATTCCTGTACACAGACTCTTCACCTACAACAAAAATATCAGTTATTTGACTTGCTAATAGTGTTAGTTTAGGCGTAATTGTTGATTTCGAATACTGACAAAATGTTTGTATATATCTTTAGATATATATACTGCGGGTAGTGTAAAGCACTTATCAAACTTGTATAACATCCTTAATTTTTATTGTTAAACTAAATACAGTGGTTCCAGTAATACAAAATAAAAAGAAGATGTATTTGCACTGGTTTATTTCATCAGGTATTCATCCTTGCTTTCCTTGTAAATGTCTGGAGGAATGATATCACCACGGCTAGATCACCCTTACACTTTGTTCAGTGATTATGATGTGATGTACTTTCTTTTTGCTCCTAGAGAGAAAAAAGCAGAGTGTAACATGTATGTACTTTTATTTAAAAAAAAGAGGTATTTTTTGTCCTTACTCAATTTAATGTTCATTTTTCAACCAAAATTGCACCTGAACTATGTAAATGTTGAGCTAAATGTTGAAAAGTGTACATTTCTTTCCTTGTACATTGGTAAACTATATTGCAAATGCAAAGTTGAAATCATCTGTTTTGGACAAGAGTGGGAACTTGGCACCCAACATTGAATGATCTTTATATATGACACTGATCATTGTTATACTTTTCTACTTTGATCTGAAACATCTCCAGTACTTCAGAAGATATAGCAATAACATGGATAGATTACTTAGGGACTACAGACAAAGGGCGATTTTAACTGGGCACCATCTTGTGTTCTAGTTTCTCCTTTGTAGGTATCATCAGTCAGTGGGAATAGGATACCAGAGGAAATGAGTCGCAGTATCATAGTGGTAACTATTTCAAGCATTAACTCTCTCCAGACTTATGTCATAGGCAATGTCCAAGTCCACTACATAACAGGAAATAGCAACCATGCAGTGAAAATTCATGTTACTTTGAAACTGGGAGCATACACAACATTGCTGAGCAACTGCATTATGCAAAGCTAGAAGGGTGTGTTTTCATTTCATGTGAACAACAGACAGTGTAGGATTTAGACAATAAAATAATAGTCATTGCCTGAACAAAGCCAATATGTTCTTTTTAATATGTTGCCTAATGTTAAGAGTCATAATTTAATAAAAATGCTTCGTAAATTCTTGCTATGGTTCCAAAAAACTATTTTGAAAATTTCAAAACCTTCTATTTTAGTGCAAAGTAATTTTTCAACATGTTTGTTTAATGCATATGATTTGTTTCTTGCTAAATGGAATGTAGTGAAAAATGAGTCATTCAGTTACTGTATGATTAAATATAAATTTGAATATTTGATCAATTTATATACTCATTACCAGTATAAAAGGATGTTTCTTGCCTTTTAGAACAAAATGTGGACATTGATTTTTTATAATGACCAAGTTCCTTTCTATTTTTTGAGGCAAGAGACGACTACCTTCAAAGACTGTCTGGAATTTTCATTTTTTTACTTTTGTATATTATAGTGAGTTTGATGAGTTGAATTACTAAATATTTTCATTATGAGTCGAGTTCACATGAAGAATTTTGCTACGTAGATCCTCCTTTTTCTCATTTGACATACATTTCAGGAGATGTTAATTTTACTTTAAGCAAATTGATTCAAGATCTTCAGCAGCAATGTGGAGTTAACAATTTTTGAACAATTAATGTACATGAACAATACTTCAGCACTGCATTGCTTTCAGTTGGCATTAATGTGTCAATGACGTGTAACTTCATTTTTTTTTTTATATTTCTTGCAATGTTCCTACAAATATGCCATTGCACGTTCATTAGTTGAAAATCTACGCAGACTTTGGTCAAATTACACAATTTAAGCACTGAATGCAGTTGTAAATATCTCAACATATAAGATATGTATCTATACAACAAAGATTTATTAGGTTACTTTAAATACATGCATGTAAATACACCATGTCATTTCACCAGATAAACTGCATGCTCTGTGCTGTAATTATATAATAAGCTGTCATAAACATTTTGTGCTACAAATGGAAGGAGCAAATGTTGATATCCCTTGCATTGTGTAAGACATTTTCTGTCAAGGAAACTCTTGGCCATAACCGAGCGAGGACATTTGAGCGAGAAATACAGAGGGGATACTTGGAGTTTTGGTTTGACACAGAGACGGGTAATAGGTGATGGAAATTGTTTCTTAGTCTACTGTTAACTGGACTTGATAACTTGTGCCATGGTTAGAGTTAATTGTTTAACTCAACATTGAGCTTAATTTCTAACCAAGTATATAATCTGTCATAAGAAAACATAGAATCTAAATACACATTTCAGATTCTGATTGTCACCTACAATTTCTTATTATTTAGACTTTAATAATTATGCCATTAATAGTGCCATTTTAAAGTTTTTTCCATAATTCAGATCTACATGGAGCTTGAATTGTCTCTATGTACATACTGGTATGTTCTGAACAGGTTTTTTTCTGTCAATTAAAACAGAATATTGGCAAAAGAGGAAAAATATTTTATTGTAATATTTTCACATTGAAAATAAGCAAGTTAATGATATGATAAACAAAAACTGACTTCGCTTTCATTTCATTGAAGATTTATAGAATACGTCATAAATCATTTATCTCATCAGTTATACAAAATGGCTGTCAGAGGGCTATCTTATTCTTTCTCGATTTCCTATGTTTTGATTCCGCAGGTAATTTAAAATTGGCCCTTAGGCCTGGCTCCACCCCTTGAGACAGTTTCTGGGTTATATTTTTGAAACAGTTGAGATCCCCATCCCATAACTATAAATAACATGCTGGGCATTAAGAGATAAACACATTTATGATGATGAACTGGCCCCTCTGAACTTAATTTTGCGGTTATACCTTTCAAACGGTGGATATCCCTCCTCATAACATTATATATATAGAATTTATTGATATCAAGAGATCAACACATTTGTTATGTAAGAATGGACTCTTTAAGTACTGCACACCTTTAGGGACATTATTTCTGTGTCATATTTTTGACTTAGCCGAGATACAAACCCAATAACCATATAAACTCTCACTTGGCATCAAAAGAGAAAGACAGTAATGATATAAGAATTTACTCATTGGTCTTTCAACATGAAAGGGTTTAAATGACTGGAGTTTTAATTTAGAAATATTTGAAATACCCAACCTAAAGGCATGTGTGTGTACCATTACTGGGCTTTAAGATCCAGGAAAGTGATACAGGCCCTATGGGCCTCATGTTTCGAGTGTACTATTACTGTATAGTGCAGCTGCTATGATCACATCATTGTTGTTATACAAAAATTAATGTAATCTCTACTGCTTTTGGTCATAGCAAAGGTAAATATATAGTTACACGGTTATTCAAGCAATTTTTTTTATTTATATGTGTATTCTCAAGTCGAGATCAATAAGTAACAGCAGTTTTAATCTTTAATGTTGTTTATGATTCACTTGTCTCTTTCTCAGGTAGACAATGGACAACACATGACCTTGTGATCAGATTTCTCTATTTTGATCCCATTATCATGGTCTCCAGTACACCAGTTACACAGAAGGACAGCTGTTTGGATCCAGCTAAAACAAGTTCAGTCTTCAGTATGATTTGCATAGCACACAGTTAAAGTATTAAAGTATGTTGCTTGTAGGAAATATCAAGTCATTGCAGGCACTGTTGTCATATTTTATGATCTTGTCTAAATGATGTTCCTCAGGCTTCAGGTGTGAACCTTTAGACATTTCTAGCCCATCATTAGATGGTGAGCTGTTCAAATTGCCCTTCATCTCGGGTCTGTTCATCCATAAACAATCCTTGCTATCATTTTTTGATGTAATGCAGGAATATTTCTCTTACTTATATCTTTCCCTTTGGTCCGTAGTTAGGCCATTTGAATTTTGTATTGATCAAAAAAGCAAAATGGCTCTCTTTTTAACAAGTTTCAACAAGAGTGCCGTCGTCACTTTTAACATGTCTGTATACATAAGCAATGAGCAAGCTACAGACACAAAGTTGAAAATGGCATAAATCTTACAAAAATCAACAAACCAAGAAATCGCCCCATCATCCACATCTACCCATTGTAGTAGTGACATTGAGCAAGTTTCATGAAAATCTGATGATTAGCTTAGGAGGAGTTGCGTTCACAAGAAATGAACGTACAGCCGGACCGACGGAGAAGATGATGCCAATATACAACTGCCTCCGGCGGTGTATAAAAAGGAAAGGAAATACTGTTTCAAAACTTAATGTGTTGGGTTTTATGGCGCCAATTTAATTTGGAGTCCAATCAGTGAAACATTTCATGCATGTACACCATGTTGTTTTTACCAAGGGTGCAGTAACAGAATCATCATTTGTATCCAGGTGTTTAAAGGCAGATGTCTGTAGGCAAATTCTTTGAGACTGTACATTAAAGTAAGATATTAACTGAACTACTGACTATAGGCTCTCTGTATAACCCCACAATGTCAACACTTCTGGTCAGTAATATGGAACTCATAAGGATGTTTATGGGTTATTATTAATTCAATACATGGAGTGTATCAGATTGCTATGCATTCTAAAAAATGCAGTTAAGATATTGTCTGCTGTAAGTGGACCTTTCCTTCTTCCAGTTCAAATAGTTCATTGCCAAAAGACGAAAGGGTTAGACACAAGTAATGTCAGTGTTATTAACGCCCTTTCCTTATAACATAGAATGTACACATCATAAAGTGTCTAAAATAATTTGAATATGATAAACATACTGTTGTATTGAGATAGAGTTTCCTGCATATTATCATATATATGACACAGAAACATAAAATACACACATTCAGGCTATCCGTGTTGAATTTCTAATAAATTTAGCCATGCGGATGGTACCATCCAGCTCACTTGTAACAGTAATATAACATTTGTTTCCATTGCGAGTTTTTCTAATTACCAAAGAATAAGAATGGCCATCCAAGTCCATGGTCATTCCAGGCAGTATGAACACAATGGATACCGACCTGCTAAAGAACATAATGGATACCGACCTGCTAAACCAAATACTGTGTATTTCCAGTGTTGTCAAACAGTAAAACTATGGCTAAAGTTATGTCACAGAGTCTTGAAAATCAAGCAGGCGAAAAATATAACTACGACTTATTAATGGCCAGTGAGGATTCAAAGAAACGGTGTCATGTTTTATGCAGGGGAAAATACCTGATACCATATGAGTTGCATAAAACAAGGAAAACATTAATTTGGAAATAGTATAGCATTGTAGTAAATGCATTGCCAGTGTCAACAACAGCATCCGGAAGTGCAGTAAAACTAGGAACTAATGGATAAATACTAAAAGCTGACTAAAAAAATCAGAGCTGCAGAATGTCACATTCACAGCAATCGTTTAAAAGATTCCGCTAAATTCAGATCGAGGACAAAATCCTGGGCATTTGTAAAGTACGGAACAGAAAACGGACAAGGTTCAAAATAATGACTGCTCCCTTTGGTAAGCGGAAGTGATATCGTCCCACCAGCGAGTGAAATGTTCATTGACAATCCGGAGTGAAGATCCGCCACTGAACTTATAATACCTACATGGCACTGGACGTACGCTAGTCCGACTACAGGAACAAAATGTAAGATTCGTTTGTGTGAAATAACTTATATGAAATAACTTATAATATACATGAAAGAAACATGAGAGAGGCGTGTCGCTACACTGATTATGATCAGCTGCTAAAAGTAGGATGGTGTGATGATCATATGATCACGGGCTCGAGACGAGTTCTGTACAATTAGAAGAAGTACACGTATATTTTGCTCCGTAAGACAAAGGTATAGAGCCTTGTTCTTCTATCTTAAGATCAGACGTCAAAGGTTGTTTTCAAACTACATATTAAATGACATTTGACAAGTTACTAATTTTAGGTTAAGATACAATTGGCAACAATGTGACTGACATTTTTCTATCAATGCAAATTTTCATGTTTGTAGTTGAGCCAGACTGAGTGTGACATATATATTGATCAGAAGTTCAATGCCGGGAGTGATGTCCTTACAATCCTGCAATGTTCCGGGGATCCCCCCTGATTTACGCAGAGATGAAACCGTGCACCAAATAGCAGACTCTTTAGAATATCTTGACAAAGTTGCAAATGAAATATTTCAAAGAATTAATACCAGGGTAAGTGATCATCGTACTCGATTACAGAAAGTCAATGACAGGCTAAGTCTAGCCCAGGCCAAAGTGGATAAAATCAAGGGAAGTAACAAAGCCACTAAAGTCTTTGCCCCATCAAAGTATCCCGCTGCCGCACATTCTGAGGAACATCAGATGTTGTTCCCAACGAGTTCCCCCAATGGTATCACTAATGTGAAACGGCCACATTACCATGTACAGCAGAAACACAAGACTCTTGATGACAAGGCTCTGAAGGATAAACTACAGTTCTACATGGTTCACCTGAACATCAAGAAAAAGGAAGGAGAAAAACAGCAGGAGGGACTTGGGGGACTTCCCAAATCTGTGGAATCTGTCAGCTCACTGCTTCTCTTCAACACTTCGGAGAACTTGTATGTTGAATTTTTAATAATCATTTTTCTTTATTTTTGATGTGTATTATTTCCGCAAGGACATGGAGTGTGGTTTAAGAATTAGGTATCTGATACTAAATCTCAGCATTTATCCTTTATTTTTGTTATGATGCTTTAAAATTAGGAAATTCTAGACAGAAACTGCATTTTTATAAATGTGTTATAAACTTTTGAACAATATTCAAATAACAAGAAATAACATTCAATGTTAAGTAACGTGTACAAAGGCCATTAAAGATTTTGACAGGACATATTAAGGCATTGTCCATTTGTCTGTCCAGCCATTGCAATTTTTTAATTTTCAAGGATCTCCTCCCCCAGTTTTCAATAACTCTGTCAAATTTGCTTTCTCGCCTTGACATTAACTTATATTTTCTTGAACGGCAATTTGATTTGACTGCTTTTTTAGGAGTAAAAGTCAACTGCCTCATAATGATCTTATTTGTTATCAGAATTTCGGTTGTCTATTTTTTTCAGTTTGTAATTAGAATTTTGTTCGAAGGTCTCCTTCCACACTTTTAGATTGATGTTATATATACTTATTAAAAGTACCCAGGAAGTTGTGTTTTCCTGATCAGAAACAGCATTAGAGTTCAACAATGTTATGAGGAGTTATTTCCCATTTTTTTTTTCTTTCAGCATTTAAAATTTATTCAGAGATCGTCTTCAATTTTTAGCCAGTTTCTTTGAAACTTGGAAGGCTAATTATAATGACATGATATTGTGCTTCTGCAGAGGAATTTTTGTATTGTTTTTGTATTAGTATTCCTTTGGATACCACACCTGATACAGGTGTACATTGTTCTGCTCCACGGTATTGTTGTTTCATAAAGAAAATGTTTTGATAATTACATGTACTACGGTATATCCTGAATCACATTATTTTAGGGTTAAGTTTAGATTTCATCTGATGTTCGTTACTTACAGGTATAAGAAGTATGTGATGCTTGATCCTCTTGGAGTTGTGACAAAGACGCGTACTGCAATTGAGGAGGAGGAAGAGATAGCAGAAGCACCCCTCACCATTGCTCAGCGGGAAGAGCTACAGCGCCAGCAGGCTGATAGTTATTTCTATATTCCTCACCTTGGGGATGTACCAGAAATTGCTGTACCCTCATCATTACCTGACCTTCCAGGTAAGTTTGATTCCTCGTCCCAACGGAACCATCATGCAATTTGTCTAAATGAATTTGGAAAATGAAGTGAAAATTGGTTTATTTGCATCATCTTCTTGTTCAAAAGTACTTACTTCTACTTACCTACCTCTAGCTCTTCTGCCACACGATGTCAGAATAAATATTAGTGACCCCAGCAAACTTTCTTGTTATCTAAGACTTTCTTTTCCTATTGAAGAAAGTGACATTGTCGTATCTCATACTGACCGTTATCTTAACCTGTTTTAGGTGTGGCTGATGACCTGGTCTACATTGCCGACATTTCATATCTCAAACTGACCGTTATCTTAACCTGTTTTAGGTGTGGCTGATGACCTGGTCTACATTGCCGACATGTCATATCTCAAACTGACCATTATCTTAACCTGTTTTAGGTGTGGCTGATGACCTGGTCTACATTGCTGACATGTCGTATCTCATACTGACCATTATCTTAACCTGTTTTAGGTGTGGCTGATGACCTGGTCTACATTGCCGACACCATTCCCTCTATAGCACCATCTGTGATGGGAGGAAACATGCCAGATCTTCCATCAGTAGTACCCGAGGCTGAAGTCCCGAATGTAACAGATATGGCCCCATCCTCAGGAGGCAGTGCCCCTCCACCTCCACCACCAGCTGGACCCCCTCCACCAGCACCACCACCGCCTCCTCCTGGCCCTCCTGCTCCTCCCCCTCCAGGGGCTCCTCCACCACCCCCTCCACCACCCCCTCCTCCCCCTGCAGATGCCCCTGAAGGGCCTCCAAGTGGGGTTCCCGAAGGGATACCAGAAGCAGTTGCTAATGCTGGTGACAGTCGCTCTAATCTGATGGACGCCATAAGAAAGGCAGGTGGGTCAGGCAAAGCAGGGCTGAAGAGTGGAAAAGATAGAAAGGTGGAGAAAAAGAAAAAACAGAAAGCAGAAAAAGAAGAGACAGGAGGAGGAGGTGGAGGAGGTGACCTTATGTCTGACCTCTTTAGTAGGCTGCAGATGAGGCGGAAAGGTATCTCTGGCGAAAAAACTGCTGGTGGCGACAAGTCTGGCGGTAATGATTCCAAAGGAGGTAGTGGTGGTGCCATGGATAAGATATCTTCAATGATCCCACCTCCACCTAAACCACAGGGAGACGACACAGAGGACCATGATGACGATGAGGACTGGGATGATTGAGGAGATAATACCTAGGATCATGATGAGGAAGAGGACTCGGACGATATAGAAGATGACACAGAAGATCATGACGACGAAGATGACTGGGACAATTAAGGTCACCCCGCAATTAAACATGTGCCACAAATAATTCAACATCTGACATTCTCACCTCACAAACTCAATCAATAGGATGTTTTTAAATCTCCCTCATCAAACAAGCACCTGTTAAATTTCAGTTTTTTTTTAAGTTCATTTTTTCATTGTGTGAAGAAGAAAACCAAATCATATTTAAAATTAATGTTAAAGTTATTTCTATCATTCTGGTATTGACCATTTTCCCCTTTTTATCTGAGTACTCGTGCACCCTGTGCAGAAATTTGAACAACTTTGAGAGAAATGTGGTTACTTTTGATGTTTGATCAGTTAGAGTGACTTTGTATGAAGAAACATGTATTTTAGGTTAAACCAGCAGGTGTAACAGTTGAATGACTTTTTACAGTAGACCTGTTTACAATGGGGACCAAATAAATCCTAGTCCTACTCTAGACTACTGGGATGTGATTATTTACAGGTTGTTAGAGTGTCTTGCTGGAATTTGTTTTACCTGCTAAAGTCTCATTTAAAAGTGTTTGATTTATCTTATGATTTACAGCATTATTTAAAAGGACCTGTATCTCCACACTGGTTCCACATTATACAAGATAAGGTGATAAGATTGTGATGTGGAAGCATCGTCCATTGTGATGTTAAGTCACTGTGGACCAGAGAAGGAATTTGACACCTGAACATGTGGATCACTGGTGTCTGTGTTATCAGCAGTCTATCTACTATCATGATGTAGCTGGGGAGAAGTCATTTTCCACTGTGATCTACTATCATGATGTAGCTGGGGAGAAGTCATTTTCCACTGTGATCTACTATCATGATGTAGCTGGGGAGAAGTCATTTTCCACTGTGATCTACTGTCACGTTGTAGGGAGGATTTATTCTCCACTGTGATGTACTGTCAAGGTGTAGGGTGGAGTCATTCTCCACTGTGATGTACTGTCAAGGTGTAGGGTGGAGTCGTTCTCCACTGTGATGTACTATCACGGTGTAGGGTGGAGTCATTCTCCACTGTGATGTACTGTCACGGTGTAGGGTGGAGTCATTCTCCACTGTGATGTACTATCACAGTGTAGGGTGGAGTCATTCTCCACTGTGATGTACTATCACAGTGTAGGGTGTAGTCATTCTCCACTGTGATGTCCCATGACACTAGAGGAGGGATACAACGTGTGATACTGGAACAAGGATATCCACAATCAGTAACGTACTTTTGTAGATATTCATACCATGAAGATTTCTATTGCAATACGATCTTATGAATCATAAATACAACTAGCTGTATTTCATAAACCTAGAGAATCTTCCTACATAGGGAGATGTAATTCCTACACAGGGCGATGTAATTCCTACACAGGGAGATGTAATTCCTACACAGGGAGATGTAATTCCTACACAGGGCCATGTACTTCCTACACAGGGCGATGTAATTCCTACACAGGGAGATGTAATTCCTACATAGGGTAATGTAATTACAAAGTGATGAAATTTCTCTGTAGGGAGAGGTAATTCCTACATTATTACACAGTAAGTAAGTGAAGTATCTACATACAAAGTCAGCTTAAAAGACATGTATGTGATATGTAAAACAATCGTTTTTATTCTATTGTATTATTGCCAAAGTTTATGAAGATTATTATCATCTACAGAAATAAAAAGATATATATTTAAAATGTGTTTGGATTTTCTGTTTCTTATCGGTCATTGTTCTGTATCCATGGGGAACAGTGTTTCTCAGGAATGTGCTTATGCAGCTGTGTCCATGGGCAAGAAAATTTTACATTATTTTGCTCTGAATGGCATGTGATGGGCCTCCCACATGTTGTTCAATGCGGTAGCCACCAGCTATTACAAGGGAACCCCACTTAAAAATGACCCAGGCTGACCATGGGTCAATATGACCAAAAAAGAACATTTAATAAATATTTTCAATCTGTGGTTTAGCCACTGTAGTAAAATTTTTGGCCAAAATATAAATACCCTGCTATCAGACCAGGTTGCCAAAATATTGCATCTTAATCAGGGACTGGCCTTTTCACAGAACAATGATATAGCATTGCATGTAATTCTTCTGGACTGCAATATACTTGGGTGGTCTTATTACTGTATACCAGGAAATTTTCACCCCAGTTTTATTTTCACCCTTTTAGTCCAGTAACAGGGAGGGCTAATTTAACACGGGTCGAAAATTTGCTACACATATTTAACAATTTTGCATAATCCTTAAAGGTCAAAATGAACATGTGAAATGTGTATAATGGTACAAGGGCAAAAATATCCCTGTATACAGTAAGTGCCAGAATTGGGTTTATTGTTAGATAAATATGACTTCGCTTGAGAAGCTCCTGGTCAGTTGTTCTTGTTTGGCATGTTTGGTATACAACAATCATGACCCTAAGCTTGATGGTTCTGAAGAAGTCATATAACCATTTAATATACTATACTTGGCCCTTTCAATCTTGAATGTAAGGATAATTCATATGAAAAACTTATCCAGCCCTCTCTGACTGATAAATTTAATATACCGTGCCAGTAAAATATTGACCCAAGGTCAGTCATTGCTGGGTGGTTGGGTGAAATAGTGTATAAAACTTTCACCTTTCCTTATGGCAAAAGGTCTCACTTGAAATGCCACATGGATTGTCTCAGGGATTCCAGTCCTCAGCTATACCTACTTCAATGCAATAGATTATTGAAGAACATTTGTAATTGTTAGTATTACACCTATAACCCTTTAAGCGAATAAAAAAAATTGAAAAACTATAATTAATAAAAAAAATATGAAAATTTTATTCTTCAAATTGACAACCTTTGATACATATACAGAGATTCAGACACCAGTTACAACCGTTTAATGATAAATAGAGTAAGGTATAGTTTGACTATGACACTACAGAACAAATGGTTTTAATATATAAAGTCAATCACTTGACGTAGTAAGACAATCAGGTGGGACGATGTAAAACAAACAACCTTGTCATTCTCATGATGATTTGTAACATTTTTAACATTTAGTCTCACAACAATGTATCATCTGAAATCCAACACACAAGTTTCATAATTTTTATAAAATAATCCTAAGAATATCTTGTTGCTGTGAACACATAGCTTCTAGACCATTGCAGTAGTTAGATTAGATTGTCTATATTGTAGGTTGAAATCATTAACTTGTTTACAAAATCTGTACATAAATGAACACAAAAATCACTGATTTCTTTGTTTTTAGATAGAAAAAATACAACATTTCATACAAACTTTTTCTAACCAGCACCAACAAAACACTGAAGACTAAAAACATTACATTTAACACTTTCACAAGATAAGGCTATACAAAAAGAAATCACAACTGCATTGTTGTAAAATAATTTTTGCAATGAACTGGAAATGCAAGTAAAGGGCTAACTTCAAATCTCTCGCTTTCCTCATTCAAGGAAAATTGTTAAAGGGAGACAACTCAGAATTATTGAAACAATACAACAAACAACAGTCCCCACTCTCATGTGAAGTACATTCCAATACCACAAGACAAATTTTGGCAGAACTAATTGTAGATGAAAACTGGTTGATGGATCCACTATATTTAATCAGGAACAGTGCTGATGTTGCCATCACAAATAAATACATATTTTTTTGTTTGTTTTTAAGATGTATCCATGTTATTTAACCATGTTATTTAACCATGTAGAATTGTATTTGATGGTATAAATATGAATGAATAATTTTAGTAAGCAATATTATAGAAGTTCACATGAATAAGTGATTACACCAACTGAAAGAGGTAGTAAACCCATAACTTGAAACTGATCACCCATTTCTAGTTTAGGTTGAAGGTCAAAATATAGGTCAATGTGACCTACTTTTCATAAAAGACACACAGTCTGACCTAAGTGAAACTATTGCTCAAGTAAGAAGTTCAAGTGACAAGTAGGGCAGGAGAAAAAGCCAATTCCAGATAAAAAGGTGAAGGACAGATAGACAGACGTACACACCACAAACTTATATCTCCCTCGGCTCCCAGTGTGGGAGTGATAGGTAGCACTGCAAGCTCAACACTGCCCCCACTAATCCCTTCTGCCCTACCTCTTACCTCTAACCCCCTCTTCAGCAGAACCCACTGCCCCCCTCATCCCTTCTGCCCTACCCCTTACCCCTAACCCCCTCTTCAGCGGAGCCCACTGCCCCCACTCATCCCTTCTGCCCTACCCCTTACCCCTAACCCCCTCTTCAGCGGAGCCTACTGCCCCCACTCATCCCTTCTGACCTACCCCTTATCCCTAACCCCCTTTTCAGCGGAGCCCACTGCCCCCACTCATCCCTTCTGCCCTACCCCTTACCCCTAACCCCCTCTTCAGCGGAACCCACTGCCCCCCTCATCCCTTCTGCCCTACCCCTTACCCCTAACCACCTCTTCAGTGGAACCCACTGGCCCCCTCATCCCTTCTGCCCTACCCCTTACCCCTAACCCCCTCTTCAGCGGAACCCACTGCCCCACTCATCCCTTCTGCCCTACCCCTTACCCCTAACCCCCTCTTCAGCGGAGCCTACTGCCCCCACTCATCCCTTCTGACCTACCCCTTATCCCTAACCCCCTTTTCAGCGGAACCCACTGCCCCCACTCATCCCTTCTGCCCTACCCCTTACCCCTCATCCTCACATCTGTTGCACCAAGCTGTGAAATGTTAATACATTTGTATTAGTAATAATTACTCATTCAATGCTTGATGTTTTCTAGATATGTCAATAATTCACATAGCAAATGTATTTAGCTAGCTGCCGTGTACAGATTTGTAGCTACCATGTGTAGGGAGGGTGTCTGTAACAAAATTGCATAATGAGTTGATAGTTCTCTTAACTATGGACTGTCTCATATAAAACAATTAAATTCTGACAGGATAAAAAATGGAATGGGATTCTGTTCAAATATGGGGAAAAAATGTCAACAACTGTATGAATTATCTTGTTCTGATCTTAACTTTCAACTACTAGATATCACAACCATTTACCACTACATAAATCCATGTACAAATCTTAATATGATCTAACTTCTACAATGTCTGATATAAAATGACAGATGTTGGAGAAACAAAATGACATTTCTGATACACGATCAGTGACTTGTGGGCTAAGACATCTTGGGTTTAATCTGTTTGTAGTCCTTGTTTCTTTTGGGGGTATATTTCAAAAGTTTGGCGTATCGTTTAAGAAGTTTTTCCCAATAGCAAGAAATATCCTCCATTGTGAGATGGTCCCATATAAATTGCCGTCCTCTGTAATAAATAAAAAAAATGATAAATGTAACAAATTAAAACCTGTTTTAGTTACACTGACACAGCTGCTTATACAAATCAACATTTCCTTACCCCTTAAAAGCCATTTATACAAATCAACATTTCCTTACCCCTTAAAAGCCATTTATACAAATCAACATTTCCTTACCCCTTAAAAGCCGTTTATACAAATCAACATTTCCTTACCCCTTAAAAGCCATTTATACAAATCAACATTTCCTTACCCCTTAAAAGCCGTTTATACAAATCAACATTTCCTTACCCCTTAAAAGCCATTTATACAAATCAACATTTCCTTACCCCTTAAAAGCCGTTTATACAAATCAACATTTCCTTACCCCTTAAAAGCCGTTTATACAAATCAACATTTCCTTACCCCTTAAAAGCCATTTATACAAATCAACATTTCCTTACCCCTTAAAAGCCGTTTATACAAATCAACATTTCCTTACCCCTTAAAAGCCATTTATACAAATCAACATTTCCTTACCCCTTAAAAGCCGTTTATACAAATCAACATTTCCTTACCCCTTAAAAGCCGTTTATACAAATCAACATTTCGTCACCCCTTACAATGCTGTTTATACATATCATTTCCTTAACGTTGCACAATAAACAAAAAAAATATATAGACCTTTACGTAATTCTGTTGAAATTCATATTAACAAATTTATTTCCACAAAATACATATAGCAAAAACGCTTAAAAAAAACCCAATTTAATACAATTGTTACATTTCAACCACAGCCAGATATCTGGGCTTGATTATCAATCAGACATAAACACAATAGTCTATGTATCACAGATAAAGTGAAAACATCACCTAACTTAAAGCTCACTTTATATCATATACACGGGTTTATACATAGTAAATTACCTGTCTGCTATCTTTTTTACTACATCGTCGTTTTGTTTGGCAAACTCGAGCAGATCCCTGGGGTAGAAAAAAACAACAGAATTTATGACCAAAAAATAGTGAAAATAACAGATTTCAGAAATCTGTATCATAACAAATGATGTTTATGAAAACATTTATCTCAGATTTTTTGTAAAATCTCTAAATATAATCAGACGGTTTTTAAATCTTGTCAGGGTTCTATAGAAATAAGAAAACTTAGAGGGGAGGGAGGCTATTGGACATTGGTCAGGTCCAGTCTGACCAGTATATAGTGGACTCAAGGTTTTACAGGGGAGAGAGAGAAGACTTACTGGACATTGGTCAGGTCCAGTCTGACCAGTATATAGTGGACTCATGGTTTTACAGGGGAGAGAGAGAAGACTTACTGGACATCGATCAGGTCCTGTCTGACCAGTATATAGTGGACTCAAGGTTTTACAGGGGAGAGAGAGAAGACTTACTGGACATCGATCAGATCCTGTCTTACCAGTATAAAGTGGACTCAAGGTTTTACAGGGGAGGGAGAGAAGACTTACTGGACATCGGTCAGGTCCTGTCTGACCAGTATACATGGATTCAAGGTTTTACAGGGGAGGACGCAGGCTTACTGGACATTGGTCAGGTCCTGTCTGACCAGTATAAAGTGGATTCAAGGTTTTACAGGGGAGGACACAGGCTTACTGGACATTGGTCAGGTCCTGTCTGACCAGTATATAGTGGATTCAAGGTTTTACAGGGGAGGACACAGGCTTACTGGACATTGGTCAGGTCCTGTCTGACCAGTATATAGTGGACTCAAGGTTTTACAGGGGAGGACGCAGGCTTACTGGACATTGGTCAGGTCCTGTCTGACCAGTATATAGTGGACTCAAGGTTTTACAGAGGAGGAAGAGAAGACTTACTGGACATCGGTCAGGTCCTGTCTGACCGGTATATAATGGACCCATGGTTTCAGAGCAGGGTAGAAAAACTCCAGCCATTCTTCTCCAACATGATATACAAGAGAATCACACAAAAAGAGATGCTTCAGTCGAAAACTTGCTGCCACTCCTCGAAAGTTAAACAAGTACCTACAAAAAAAGCATCATACTGAAAAAATAATCACAACAAAAAAACATATAACACAAAAATCAGAACACAGAAAGTTATCACAAAGCAAACAACACATAAATAGAAATCAAAACATCACAAAAATTATAGAAAGTTAAACTTCATACATTTGTCCAAATCCAAATAACAAAAAAATTGGTTCAAATTCTTTTGTTCCTCATTAAAATCTAAAGTTCTTTACATAATTTATCAAAAACAGAATCATATCCCACTTACTTGTATTGACAGTGATCCTCTAAGCGTACCTCATCAGCTGGATCTTCACCTAATGTATCCTGTGGAAAGGAGGCTGAATGTCTCATATTGATGTTGAAAATTCTTTCACAGATATAGATATCTGACATTACTGACCCCTGACCTTACTGACCTCTGACATTACTTACACCTGGAATTATTGATCCCACACACTACCGACCCCTGACATTACTTAACCTCACATTACTGACCCTTGACCTTAGTGACAACAGACATTATTGACCCCTAACATAACTGATCCTTACATTACTGACACTGGACATTACTGACCTCTGGCCTTACTGACAATGGACATTACTGACCCCTGACCTTAATGACAATGGACATTATTGACCCCTGACCTTAATGACAATGGACATTACTGACCTTTGACCTTACTGACAATGGACATTACTGACCCCTGACCTTAATGACAATGGACATTACTGACCTCTGACCTTACTGACACTGGACATTACTGACCTCTGACCTTAATGACAATGGACATTATTGACCCCTGACCTTAATGACAATGGACATTACTGACCTTTGACCTTACTGACAAAGGACATTACTGACCCCTGACCTTAATGACAATGGACATTACTGACCTCAGACCTTACTGACAATGGACATTACTGACCCCTGACCTTAATGACAATGGACATTACTGACCCCTGACCTTAATGACAATGGACATTATTGACCCCTGACCTTAATGACAATGGACATTATTGACCCTGTAACATTACTGACACTGGACATTATTGACCTCTGACCTAACTGACACTGGACATTACTGACCTCTGACCTTACTGACACTGGACATTACTGACCTCTGACCTAACTGACACTGAACATTACTGACCTCTGACCTTACTGACACTGGACATTACTGACCTCTGACCTTACTGACAATGGACATTACTGACCCCTGACCTTAATGACAATGGACATTATTGACCCTGTAACATTACTGACAGTGGACATTACTGACCTCTGACCTAACTGACATTTGATTTTTTATAGATAAAAACTAAAAAATGTGTCGGAATCCGAGAAAACACTCTGCACCAATCAATAGTAAATGATGTATGGAAAAAAATTCTATGTCAAAACTCACCTCCTTGGAGCGCCAGGACTGGTTCTTTGTGTATTTAGCATCCACCAAGTCTGAATGTTTACGAGACAACAATATGAGAGGATCTCGTTCAGAACTGGTGCGAGACCCTCGGAAGTAACCTTTATCTTGTTTCGCTGTCCACGGCCATTTTTTTGCTTCCCTACAATTAAAAAGAAATGTGTGTCCTTTTCGAATTGGTTTTTTTTTTTTGCAACGCAATATATTCTATTCCGTCTTTTCACAATCCAGTGTTTTCTGATCTTGTCAGTATTGATAGCTATATACAATACAATACAAGATGGAGATTAAGTGCAAACTTAAGATACCATTTCTGATTTAAAACAATTTTTTTAATTATGGAGATCTCTCCTTTTCCTCTCTAATCACTGCTAACCTAGGAATAATTTCTCTCTGCTCGTCCCAACGTCCAAGTCCTGTTGGATAAATTGGCCAAACAGCTGGTCCTCCTTCCCAAAACGTCCAAGCAGGGTACATAATGTCCCAATGTTGGTTCATCTACGAAACATCAAAAATATTGAAATAGCAAATAAAATGAGAAAAATGTTTGACTGAAGAAAAAGACGTATTATGTATGTTTAAAATTAAGTTTTAAGTAATTACTCCCTTTTTCTAAAAAAAAAGTGTGTTTTTCTTACGAAAAGAAGAAAAATCTAATTTACATATACAATACTGTTTTAAATCAAATTTGTCAGTTATCATAAGCCTACACTTTACACCTAGGTCATATGATCAAATTCAAGGGAGACAATTCATCAATGCCAAAATGCTTTTAAAACAATTGCACACAAGAAACCAAAAGTAAGGATATATCTTTATATCAGTAGTAATCTGATTAAAGTATCTTGAGATCAATTTTGGAAAAATAGCATATAAATTTTTGCACATACAAGTAACAATAAGAAATTTGATACTCTCAATCAATAGATATCATCTGATATTTCTTGTGTATTTTGGTATTTACAAAATCATCACTTACTATGCAGTGTGAGAGTTTAATAGTAGCATTAACACGAAAATTTTTTCTTTGAAAATTTCATTGGAGTTTTGATGTGAAGAAGGACATTATCAGGTCACACATTAAGACATCTAAAGCATCTAATGACATTCTATGATGTCAATAGGTCTGATGACTTTCTATGATGCCAATAGGTCTGATGGCATTCTATGATGTCAATAGGTCTAATCACATTCTCTGATGTCAACAGGTCTAATGACATTCTATGATGTCAAAAGGTCTAATGACATTCTATGATGTCAATAGGTCTAATGACTGTCCTCACCACTTTACTAAAGGAGAAGACAGGGATTGGTGGACCATGTTTTGATGACTGGGGCCAGTCTCGCACATTTATCAACATCTCCATGTCCGGCAATTTTTTTATAATAAGAAGGATGAAATGTTCCACGCCAGAGCACCTGTTAATAATAGATTAATGAGTTAGTTGCTTTAAAAACAATCAAAATAAAGCATTTTGGTAGAAAGACACTTAATTAATAAATTATCCATTAGTGAGATGAAGCATGCTGGCCAAGTTTGTGGAGCTGTGGGTTATAATGCCAGAGACATTTTGGGTTTTATTCCTCTCCAGGCACTCAGCAGCTATGTGTTTTTCTTGTTCTTTCATACAAGTACCAAGGAACCCTTAAATCCCACTTGTATGTCAGAAATAATCGTTTATCTTATGTAGTTATAAACTGTCTAGGATCTAGACCTCAAGTCTACAGTCCATAACAAGGAAAACAGAGAATTTTGACAAGAATATTGGAGGTTTATACCTGTTAGGAAACATGCATTGGTCCTCCCGATACAGTTTGTGATTGATGATTTGGTAGTGTACTCCTCTCTGTATGGATTCAGTGATCATGTCTTTCGTAATTCCACCTGGTTTTTCTTCCCAGACTCGTAGGTCATTACTGATCACACTGTAAAACCATGGGCATATTTTCACACACATATCATGGGGAGATATCATTAATTGTCTCTAATGTTGAGGCTGTATAAACATGATATAAAAATCTTTTCTACATGAGACCTGAAAATCTCACACGCTAACAAGTACTTGATTTTTTTGGTCTCATCAGATCTGTCTGGTATCTTAATGTGACATCTGGTGCCATGTCACAAAAGCAGATCTAAATGAATAAAAAGTAATTGAAAATGAAACAAGTTTATTAAGTTTTATGCACTCTTGACACAGTCATGTTAAGAGAAAAAGAATCTGTTTCCCATCCATGTTTGAGACTCATCTGTCTCAGTCTTGAGCTTACATTCTCTGACATCTTATACCCCACTATTTGTTACAGAATTCTTTAAGTCTGACCATCAAAATTAATTCTCAAGAAACCACTCACTCTTGATGACAGGAACAGAGGTCTGAGCTGCACTCTGTATAATCTGTCAAAGCCTTGTCAATCTTCTTCAGGTAGTTCTTCCATCTGGTATTGGATGCTGTTAACAAAAGAATGTATAAGGGATATAGTGATGTACACTATTCCGGTAGGAGGGTCTATAAATAGCATTAATAGATTAACATGATCTCTTTTGTAGCAAACACAACACTCAAAGTTCAAGTAAATATATTTTTTGCTTTACAGGTTGATTGAAAATGAGAGCAATACAGAGGCGATGTAGATAAAATTTGTTGCTGCTACAAAAAATGATGTCCATTCAATGTTTACATTTCCCCTAAACTGTCATTATACAGAGTGATCTTGCTCCCATAAAATACTTCCAGTATTTTTTCTCTCTTTTTTTTTTTTTTTACACAAATACAGAAATTTGAAAAAGCACATCACACTTCATGTTACTTTTTCAATTAACCTATAGTGACATATGCTCAAACATCCATTCAGTGTTTCAAGTATACATGGAATCTAATATTAAAAGGTACAAAAAGGACTGATGACACTTGTTTGCTGAGTCAAAATGAGAGACCAACTTATGTATTGCTGATTGACTTCCAATTGTTTTTATTTGATCGGTTTGACCATGTAAACAATACTAATGGTAAGCGCGCTTAATTAAATCTATCAATATGTTAACTTACAAGGCGTATACTTGCTATCTTCTTTCTTCTGTGCTGATTCTGTGGCGCAACTTTCCCCTCTTGCATCCTGTTTCGCCTGACAAACCTCTTCTGACAAGCAGGATGACACTAACGACACAGTCACAAGGCATACTGAAGTAACTCCCAGCCACATGTTTCCGGAAGTAGACTAAATTCTCTTTTCTCAAAGAAGAGTTCCAGCGGGAGATCTCATTATTTCACGTACTTCCAGACAGGTTTCCGCGCCAGAGAATATAGAATGGAAGAAGAAGACCGACGATAATCAAATAGATAAACACAAACAATGAGCTGCAAAATTCAAGGGTTGTGGTTACACACATATTTCGTTTGATTTGTGTCATTAATGGCATAATTGCGACAACATATTCATTTTTTTAAAAAAAAGAAGTCGTACCTAGTTATTAATTTTGCGTATTATTCCTATGTGTCTTGTATTGAACGGCATTGATCACTAAACACCTTTAAATACCGGAGTTAAACTTCAATACCGGCGTTGAATGACATTTATTTAGTAAATCATTAAATGATGATTTCGAATACGCTTAAAAAATCTTAGCCTAATTTCTTATCCTATAAATAACAAACTATAACATGATTGCGTGGTTTGTCATTTTTAAGTGCTATTAAAATTGAGTGCAGAAGTACCTGTGATCGAGATTGGTACTGTACTGGTTATACGATTTAAACACCTAGCTCCCAGCCATTATTTGAATTACCTCCCCTATGTTAACAATTCGCATAAAAACTCCCACTAATTCAAACTAACACAAACGTATACTCACATCTCCAACATACACCTGTACATAGTAACACATCCAACATACACGTGTATGTACTCACATCTCCAACATGCACGTGTACATAGTTACACCTCCAACATACACGTGTAGATACTTACACCTCCAACATACACGTGTAGATACTTACACGTCCATCATACACGTGTATATACTTACACCTCCAACATACACGTATACATAGTTACACCTCCAACATACACGTGTATATAGTTACACTTCCAACATACACGTGTATATATTTACACCTCCAACATACACGTGTAGATACTTACACCTCCAACATACACGTGTAGATATTTACACCTCCAACATACACGTTTATATACTTGCGCTTATAACATACACTTGTATTCATGCAAGCAACATACACATACATGTACACACGACATAACGTGTACCTATTCATGATACACAGTTTTACATATATATCCGGCAATCAGGTGTACACACGCCTACCTTTGTACAATCAACTACACACAGATTCCCTACATGCACGTTTACACACATTTTCAGCATATACACATTTACACTTCTATACATATTTAATGTTGTACACACTCCGAGCACACACTGTACACAAACACATTCAGCATACACGTGTACAGAGACTTCTAACATACACGTGTAAACTGTCCTCTCCTCCAAGGTACACGTGTACTACTCTCTCCTTCCCCTAACATTCTGTTCAGAGTCGTCATGCATATTCTCCAACTTAACACTTAGCTCTCGACAATATTTTGTTGCTTTCTTGTTTTTTTTTTTTATTTTTTTTTTATTTTTTTTTTATGTTTATGAAGTTGTTTGTTCAAATGACAATAAATTGAACGTCAAGTGAAATTTCCAAATCGGTGATTATTAATTGGAACACGGGATGTTTGAGAAATCTTCAAATGATTAGAATCGACCATATATATATATATATATATTGTTCAATTAAGTTGAAATTTTAACGTTTATCAAACGAAATTGGAATCATTTTTCTGTTGTCGAGTGTAAAAATCATTAAATCGCTTGAAAACACAATTCGATTATCAAAGAGTGTTTGCTTTGGTTTAAGTGTTTTTGTACGTCAATTTGCAGCGTGTATTCGTTACCAAGCTTACTGTTAAATTAATGAACACAGAGTGTTTTTAAATTTGTTAATTCCAAACACAAATTCTTCGAGCTTGTGTTCGATCTTTTGTGCTGTTTGGCGGCCCAATAAGTAATTACTTTGGGAAGAACCTCTATTTCCGTCAATATTTAAAACGCAGTCACAGTTAGATGTAACGATATGAAATCGCTGTTTCTGTAACGCCTGATGTGACATATAGCATGAAGATAGTGTTTCGGCACATTTATCGCCAAAACGTCCTATATCAGTGACAGATGGTTTTTGCTGAAATATGCACATAAAGAGGTTGATTAATAATTATAAAAGGGAAATCCTTTTCTGTTATTCAGCACTCTGGATATGGACATTTTTTATCATGTATGATAGCGCATGCGCACAAAACACTGTCGCCTGGTAACAAAAATGGCTTCCCTCCTGAATTAGTCGCGACAATGTTGGCGATTGATGTCACTTATTAAGTAATTTTGAACTGACTTAGAATTATCAAATAAGAAATGCCACACTCATAACAAAATGTGGTGCTGAAAAACGGAATTTTATTTACTATATCGCTGCCATTTCTACCACCCATCATGTTTTCGTGTTTACGAAATTGACTGCCTCGTCTCAGAACTATTACGTAACGTTAAATTTGAGAGAGGTTTCTTGAATCAAAGAAGTAGTCAGGCTGTACATTGGAAATCGGCCGTGAATATCGGGATACCATCGAAACGTAAATGGAAGTGTATAAAACACGTAAAATCAATCACAAAAATTAATGTTTTTACGATGCCGTCCCTTTAATCCAATAGTAACGTTATTATGTAACACTGGCTCCCATTGTACGTCTCCCTAAATCACGTTTATTTGTTAACCACTAATTCTATAAATAGCATTACGTGTAAGATGAAAAATGTGTGAGAAAATAAATAATCCAAGTGTCATTTATTAGACTGTAGATGCCACTCGTACTTCTAACCATGGAACAATGATAGCACTAAAATGGCAAGAACTCCAAATGAATATAATTACCATGTCGTATTACGCGCTCATGTCGATTAGTATTGCTGATTATTGTAGCTTTACATGTAATATGGTCTCACCTGTATCATTAGGGTCTTGCATCATATGCCCGTATTGACAAATTTATTGTTACCATATTGCATAATTGTATGATTAACGGGAGGTAATAAAACTCCAAGTGTGTATGACTTATTCCCCTTTTAATATTGAGAGGTTTTTGAAGGATTCTGAAGAATCAACTGAAATGACACAGTGCGTTTGTGATTTTGTCCCCTTATGTCTTGTGTTATATATATGATATATATATATAGTTGCTGTACAGGGGAGTTAACTCTAGTGCTATGTTTGTTGAACTCTCTAGGAAAGAAGTTAAAAGGTTGTTACTAAAATGTCTGTGAAAAGGTCTGAAGACACGTGTTATCTCCTCTCATTGCTAAGCCCCAAAACACTGGTGGAGAATCCTTAGTACCAAGGATTTTTTAAATGACAATATCGTCGAATATTTTATGTACCATTGTCTGATAAATCCACTATCATCATATCAATGTGTTGTAGTTTTAACGTGGTGTCTACCTTTCCCCCACGTGGAGCAGCCATTATGATTGAGCGGGAAACGAACATTACAATGAGGAGAAACCAATCACTAGCTATCAAAACCCCAGTGTGGTACCTCATCCATAACACAGGATACCCCTGATGAATCATTTTCTGATATATTTACAACAGAATTTCTGGACAGATTTTGTCTTACATGTACGTCATACCCTGGTCCTGTTGTAATCAACAGCACTCCAGTTACAATACAGATTGAAAACTCCTTCAAAAAATTAGAGAGAGACACCCCGTTATGTGATCTACATGTCACATTTTATATGGACAATGATGAAACATTGGATGTTCCAACTGTATCACGTGATTCACATCCTTGTATTTACAGCATGTCCAATAAATGGTTTAAGTTTGAGAATTTTTCAGAGTACCCCTACGAAAAAGCAGCAAAATTTCTTTCGCAATTTGAATCGTATGTATTTTTTAAAGATCTGATTGACTCTTACCAGGATGCTCGAATAGTTGCTGTCTTCTATTTGCATTTACGTGGCTCAGCCATTTTATGGTTTAATACATTAAAGGACAAATCTTGGGGAGATGTTCTGTCAAAACTTAAAAATCGTTATTTTCTCAACAATGGCCAAAACTCAATATTTTTCGTTGAAATGGAATATTGTTCTAACCTCAGATTGACAAATGGTCAGACAATAGTAGGTTTTCACGCCAATGAAATGGAGAAAAGGAACTATGCTTGGTAAACCTGATTATGAAATATTAGGGAAGTTTATAATAAACGATACATTACGTCTATTTGTAAACGCCGGAGCACCGAAAGACATCATGGCAGCTCTAACTCTAGCGAAGAAAAGTGGAGAAAAAATAGCCATTCACGTGTTGTCGCAGCAGCTCAGAGGAGGGATTGTCATGAGGATTCTGGATTAAGTGAACTGAAGCTTCAGGGTAAACAGTTGACACCTGATGTAATGTATTATAAATAGTATACTCTTTTATACGTGTCATTATTTATTTTAAACCTTTGTTTATTTTTTGGTTGAATGGTTTTGTAGAAGATTTTTTGCTCGGTGTAAATTGAATAAAAATTTGTCTACGATGGGACCAGTGTTATTCCTATATTAACTGTTTAACAGATAGGTTTTGGTATATATAGTATGTTATGTTGACTCAATATCAATGTATGTAGACTTGCTTCAGTGTGCCGGTAAGTTTCCAAAAACCGAATTATAAGTTTGAATGATTTCAAAAGTAAATGTGAGTGTATAAGAAATTAAAGCTACTCTCAGTTCCCAGGTTAGCATGCCACATTTGATATATACTGAACCGTTGAAGTGTTTGACAAATTGTGTTGACATAAGCGCGATATGAACTTGTAAAAGTATTACAACAGTTCATCAAAATTGTGTAAATGACGTGTGGATAATGTTTCCTTGTCTGTGTAGTCCTCTCATACCTCACTAATTTGTATACTATTTCATGCTGCTTTAAAGGAAGTTAAGTCAACATCACTGGGATATGTACACAACAGTTCGCTTATGTATTGCCTTCCTATGTTTCTGGGGATCATCCTGTTAGTACGCTGTCAGAATTTACTTGATATGAACCACACATGTATTTTGTGACTTGAATAGAATGTTTGAACAACTAAACATT